GCCCGCCGAGCAGAAGCCGCCGCCGCCGCCGCTGCCGCCCGTGCAGGAGGAGTTCTCCTTCCTGCCGCTCGTCCACGACATCATCAAATGGTAACGGCGGCCGCCAGTACCGGGCCTCCCCTAGCTCCGCCGGCACCGGGCCTCTCCCGCCGTGCACCGCATAGGCCGGCGGGGCGGTACGGCGCGGCCGAGCTCCGCCCCGCTCCGTCACTGCGCGGCGCCGATAGCGAGAGCTGCCCTGCAGCGGGACCGGAACTGGGCACCTCACCCCTGCTCCAGCCACCCCCCTATAATGGTGCTGTCTGACCCCCAGCGCCCTCAGCGTGCCCTGGGTGGGGAGCAGGGCTATGGGCCCCGCCTCTAATGATGCTTCCCCACCCACAGCGTCCTCAGGTGTGCCCTGGACTGGGAGTGGGGCAATAGGATCCCCCTCTAATGTTGTTCTGCAGTTCCCAATATCCCCAGGGTGCCCTGGATGGGGAGCAGGGCAATGGGGTCCCCCCTCTAATGATGCTCTTCCAGCCCCAGCATCCTCGGGATGCCCTGGACAGGGAGCAGGACTATGGATTCCCCCCCTTAACGATACTTTCCTACCCACAGCATCATCAGGAATGGCCTGGACAGGGACTGAGGCAATGGGATCCCCCTCTAATGATGTTCTGCTGCCCCCAGCATCCCCGGGGTGCCCTGGATGGGGAGCGGGGCGATGGGGTCCTCAATCTATTAATCTTTCCAACTGCCAACATCCTCAGGGTGCCCTGGATGGCTAGCAGGGCAATGAGGTCACTCCTCTAGTGATGCTCTCCAGCCTCCCAGCATCTCCTTTGCCCTTTTTCTCCCATCTGGAGTTCCTGGGAAGAGTGTCAGAGGAAGCTGGTACAGCTCCAAGTGCCTGGGTGGTGGGTGGGTCACCTGGGTGGTGCAGATGCTCCCCTGGCCCAGGTACACTGCCCCACCATCAACACCCAGGAGCAGGAGCTGCGTACTTGCACTGGGTTATTGCTCCGGATTACTGTACTATTTGGCTGATAACAGCCTCAGAAAGTACAGGCAGTGCTGGGGCAGGAATACAGCCCATTTCTGGGGAGCTGTAAAAAGGAGGATGACTTCTGCAGTGATATGGGTTAAATTGTTCTCTTCCCGGTTCAAGATAAGTACTGTAGAGGTAGAAGGTCCTTGTACAAGGGTACTGAGAACTGCCATGCTTCTGGCCTGGAATAACCCCTTCAGAGATGCCTGTCTGAGGTCCTGGTAGGGATATGGCTCTGCTGTGAAAATCCATCCAGGGCAGCTCTGTGCTCTCACCTGGGCACACTGCGGGGTGAGGCAGAGGCCACGGGGAGCATGAGTTGTGGGCCTGGCTGTGGCCTCCCTGTGCGCTTATTTGGGAGCTGAGGCTGGTTTGTGTCCTGCTGATGTTCCACTCGCATCAAACATGTCTGAATGGTGAGAGAGGTTCACCTTTAATGGCTCTGCAGCCTGGGCCATGGCAAGGAGAGATTGAACACACCGGTCCGGATACAAAACAGGTGTGAGAACACAAACCTTCTGATTTGCCTCAGTTTCCCTGTTGTGCTGGGCGTGGGTGGTTGCCCCCGGCCTTGATTCTGCCAGATCCCTCCAAGCCACAGAAGTGAGGCTAAGCTCATTGCCAGGTGAATACACGTCCATAAGCAAAGTGGGCAGTAGCCATGGGCTGAGACCTCCCAGATTCCTTTAAGTCACCGAGCGGGTCACGGTGCCCCACTGGTGACAGTCCCTGGGATTTCTTGTGCCCTGTCCCACTGAGCCACCCACTCCCTCTGCCTCCCTTGGCTTCACACATGGCATTTCCTGGGCGGCACAAGCAGACGTAGGTGCCCTGAACAGTGCTGTAGATGGGTAGGACCATAGAGGCAAGCGGTGGGATGTGTTGCCTCATGTCCCTGACAGATGGCAAGCGTATTATCCTTTAACGCTGCCGCTAGTCGCGGAGCCTGGCCCTGCTGTTTTGACACTGACTCAACCATGAAGACACATCTCCAAGGTGACTCTGTGCTTGGGAGCGAGGATGTATCCTGTAAATTTGCTTACGTTCAAGGACACGTGCTCTTTCCTGTTGTTTGGGTCCGGAGAAAGTTTTCCCAACCAGGGCTTGCTTTTATTTCCACCCTTGTACAATAAAATGGGATTGCCACTAAGGTCCCAGCGCGTGGCTCCAGCAGCAGTGGGTTGTGCTGGTGTAATGAAGAACACTGTGCCTTAAAGGCAGATCTTATGCGCAGTCCATCAGCTCAGGCTGAGGTAGGACATTGGGTTGAATCCTACATTACTGCAGGCAGCTGCAGTCTCTTCCCACTCATCCTCACCCCTGCCTGTCCCTGCCCTCAAAGTGGGAGTCGCTTCAGTGGCTTGATCCGGCAGGAAAACCACCCATCAGAAAAAAGAAAAAAACCCAAACCTGAAACAATTAGTCCTTTGGATCAAGTAGTTGGATGAGCAACCATCAGTTCTCTCTGTGTGGGGAAGGGAAGAAGACTTGGGGAGACCTGGAGTGGGGAGAACGTCCCTCTCAAAGCCACCCTGTAGCGATGGTGGATTAAAGGCAGTGTCAACCCAACCCATCCTTCCCCAAACGTGCCATGGGGTTGTGTGTCTGTATTTTTCCACTGCCGACCTGACCGTGAATGCCTGCATAATGGGGATACATTATAGTACCAGCTGCAGTTTTATTTAGAAGGGAGTAATGAATATTTTGTTCCAACCGGCTTTTGAAACGAACTGCAACCATCTGGTTAAAAGTTTTGCTCTCAGTCATGTCATGATTCCCCAGCGTTATAATCGAGCACCTCTCTGCCCTGGTCGTGCCAAGCAGATTTATTTTTAGGTCTGGCTATTGAGCGGGCTCCCAGTTTTCAAAGACCATTAGAATCCCTCACTCATTATTAACAGGCGCCCTGGAAGCAGGGACTCGCTTTTGCCTGGAATCGGTAAAACTTCTCGCTGGTGCTAACAAAGCTGCGGCAGATACTAATGAGGGTTTGAGGGCAGACGCTGCCTCAGACAACACTGATCCTTGAAAAGCACAGAACTGGCTGCAGAACCAACTGTGCTGCTCTTAAAAAAAAAAAAAAAAAAACAAAAAAAAGCTGTCGCTTCTCTTTTATTAGATATATATCCCCAGAGAGCACTTTTAATGCTCCAAAGTACCCTTTTCTCTGCCATTGGATACTCTCTGATACTTTGGGGAACAGTTTCTGTTTTCTGCTGTCAAGCTGTTTGACGGCATTGATTTTTTGTATTACAGCAGCAACAGGTCACGGGTGAAACTGAGATCTTTTTTTTTTGAGGTTCCTACACACAACATACGTATGTAATCTTACCTTCCCCAAAGAGAGATACGGGAGTTCAAACAGGGAGAATTTACCCGGCTCCATGGTAATGTTTTCAAAGCTGCAGAGCAGCTCCCAACCTGATTGATGGGTCCTGAGGTAACTGGATTGTGTGCTGGTAATTAGCAGGAAACCAGTTTGCCCCAGAGGTTATCCAGTCTGTATAGCTCTCTGTGTCCATTTTAGTGGGATAGGTGAATTAGGTGCGTGTATCTAGATACTAAAAGCAGAAGTTTCCCAGTGGATTCCAGTTGAAGCCCTGGTTGTACTGGAAATGACAGTCACCTCGGCGGGCTGAAGGGGCGTTTCCAATAGGAGAATTGAACGATGTCTCATTTTTCTCTCCTCTGCAGCATGGACAAGGACAGTCAGGATGTTCACCAGGTGCTGAACGAGCTGAAGAACAAGTTCCAGGAGATGAGGAAGCTGATCAGCTCCATGCCCGGCATCGGTGTGAGCCCAGAGCAGCAGCAGCAGCAGCTGCAGAACCTGCGGGAGCAGGTCCGGACCAAAAACGAACTGCTGCAGAAGTACAAGAGCCTTTGCATGTTTGAAATCCCCAAGGAGTAGGATTTGCTCTGCTCTCCGGGTCTGAGATACCGCCTCTCCTGGCTGAACAGGAGAGAAAAAAAGTGACAGAAGTTTACATTTCTTTCTTTTATGCTTTTTTTTTGGTGGCATTGCTCTGAAGTTGTGTCTGTGTGGATCGCAGGCGTGTGACACTGAACCAGAACACTGTGTGCTTCACACATGACGATTGCAGCGGCACGTTGACTTTGATCTGCTGTAGGACTGTGCATTTATATATGCATCTCTTCTGTTTTCTCTTGGGGAGGGGTGAGGTAGTATTTTTTTACATTCAAGCAAGCAAGAGACATTATGTTTTTTTCTTCTCTAAGGGTCAAAGTACCTGCTGGTTAACTTCAACAAGAAAAAGGGGACATTTTCTGCATTTTTTTTTTTTTTTTACTTAAAAGTGGCCAAACATCAAATAGGAGCATTAGAGGCAAGTGTGAGCTGTTTGGCTCCACTCCTGGAAAGGGTCTCTGGGACACTTTCCAGTCTCAGTGTGTCAAAAGAGGAGAGATTGCTTTCAGTTACTTTTGTATTTCTCTCTCTTTCTCTCTTTCTAAACAAGTGCTGGTTGTGTCTGAGATGAGTCAAGTAAAGATGGTGAAATTCCAAACTGCCCCTCTCTTGTGTATTCACTGAGTGGATGCGGGCTGAGCTGGGGCAGGATTTTGGCAGCGCAGAGGACGTGTGTAGCCTGGGCCCAGCTTCTGCCTCTTGACATGGCTTTTTGGGAAGCGGGGTGACTTGGGAGAGCAAAGCAGGGACTGCTGGGAGGGTGGATTCTGATAGGCTTTGGGTGTGTAAGTGCGTGGCGACTGCATCTTGTAGGCAGCACATGGGGCATCTTGCTCTTAAAGCGGAGGAAGGGAAAGCAGAATCAAAACAAAGGGCATAAATGACAAGAGCTTTTAGTTATTCCACACGTGACAAAAGTCAGGCTCAACAGGACGGGTCAGTTCCACATCTGAAGTGCTCCAGGGGCTTCCCACAAACACAAGCACTCGAGCGGCTCGAACATTTGCCCGGGGCTGATGGAAAGCTCTTGAGTGTTGTATCACAGTCAGACAGATCCCAGGGCTCCCTGCTCTCTCTCCTGCATTCGCTCTTACGGTGGCTGATGGGAGCCTGGTAAGTGGCACCACATCTCACCAACAAAGATGTGATGGGACTTTAAATCTCATGGTTCCCTGAATCACGCTGAAGGATGGTGCAGGTCAGTAGCGGAAAAGGTTAAAAACCATCAAGTGAAACACAATATCCATCCAGAACCAGGCACCCAAGGGCAGGTAGCGCTTGTGCCTTCAACAGAAGAGAAGCAAGGTCTGTTTGGGTGGGATTTTCCTTTCCTAAACCAAGAGGCAAGTCGTTCTGCTGGTGGGGAGCTGGGGTGGCTGCGTCTCACCGGGAGCCAAGAGATTGCTCTGTTCCCGCTGGAATACTTTGCTAGTACTTTCTTTGGGAAGGTGCCAGTGTGTAAACCCTGAGCAAAGCAGAATACCAAGGTAAACAAAGCACAACGTACGCTCTTTTTATTACTGAAATTACCTTTCTGCCAGCGATTGCCTATCCCAGCTCAATAAATTCTTGTGTCTCATGCCTGGACAGTGGTTTCCCTTTATTTGCTGGTGGCTGTTCCTGTGAAATCAGGGCATATGCAGAGCTGGAAGAAACAACGTGTTTCCAAAGAAGTATTTGGCACTGGTTGTGCTGGGCGTGGGTGGTTGCCCCCGGCCTTGATTCTGCCAGATCCCTCCAAGCCACAGAAGTGAGGCTAAGCTCATTGCCAGGTGAATACACGTCCATAAGCAAAGTGGGCAGTAGCCATGGGCTGAGACCTCCCAGATTCCTTTAAGTCACCGAGCGGGTCACGGTGCCCCACTGGTGACAGTCCCTGGGATTTCTTGTGCCCTGTCCCACTGAGCCACCCACTCCCTCTGCCTCCCTTGGCTTCACACATGGCATTTCCTGGGTGGCACAAGCAGACGTAAGTGCCCTGAACGGTGCTGTAGATGGGTAGGACCACAGAGGCAAGCGGTGGGATGTGTTGCCTCATGTCCCTGACAGATGGCAAGCGTATTATCCTTTAACGCTGCCGCTAGTCGCGGAGCCTGGCCCTGCTGTTTTGACACTGACTCAACCATGAAGACACATCTCCAAGGTGACTCTGTGCTTGGGAGCGAGGATGTATCCTGTAAATTTGCTTACGTTCAAGGACACGTGCTCTTTCCTGTTGTTTGGGTCCGGAGAAAGTTTTCCCAACCAGGGCTTGCTTTTATTTCCACCCTTGTACAATAAAATGGGATTGCCACTAAGGTCCCAGCGCGTGGCTCCAGCAGCAGTGGGTTGTGCTGGTGTAATGAAGAACACTGTGCCTTAAAGGCAGATCTTATGCGCAATCCATCAGCTCAGGCTGAGGTAGGACATCAGGTTGAATCCATTACTGCAGGCAGCTGCAGTCTCTTCCCACTCATCCTCACCCCTGCCTGTCCCTGCCCTCAAAGTGGGAGTCGCTTCAGTGTCCATCAGCTCAGGCTGAGGTAGGACATTGGGTTGAATCCTACATTACTGCAGGCAGCTGCAGTCTCTTCCCACTCATCCTCACCCCTGCCTGTCCCTGCCCTCAAAGTGGGAGTCGCTTCAGTGGCTTGATCCGGCAGGAAAACCACCCATCAGAAAAAAGAAAAAAACCCAAACCTGAAACAATTAGTCCTTTGGATCAAGTAGTTGGATGAGCAACCATCAGTTCTCTCTGTGTGGGGAAGGGAAGAAGACTTGGGGAGACCTGGAGTGGGGAGAACGTCCCTCTCAAAGCCACCCTGTAGCGATGGTGGATTAAAGGCAGTGTCAACCCAACCCATCCTTCCCCAAACGTGCCATGGGGTTGTGTGTCTGTATTTTTCCACTGCCGACCTGACCGTGAATGCCTGCATAATGGGGATACATTATAGTACCAGCTGCAGTTTTATTTAGAAGGGAGTAATGAATATTTTGTTCCAACCGGCTTTTGAAACGAACTGCAACCATCTGGTTAAAAGTTTTGCTCTCAGTCATGTCATGATTCCCCAGCGTTATAATCGAGCACCTCTCTGCCCTGGTCGTGCCAAGCAGATTTATTTTTAGGTCTGGCTATTGAGCGGGCTCCCAGTTTTCAAAGACCATTAGAATCCCTCACTCATTATTAACAGGCGCCCTGGAAGCAGGGACTCGCTTTTGCCTGGAATCGGTAAAACTTCTTGCTGGTGCTAACAAAGCTGCGGCAGATACTAATGAGGGTTTGAGGGCAGACGCTGCCTCAGACAACACTGATCCTTGAAAAGCACAGAACTGGCTGCAGAACCAACTGTGCTGCTCTTAAAAAAAAAAAAAAAAAACAACAAAAAAAAGCTGTCGCTTCTCTTTTATTAGATATATATCCCCAGAGAGCACTTTTAATGCTCCAAAGTACCCTTTTCTCTGCCATTGGATACTCTCTGATACTTTGGGGAACAGTTTCTGTTTTCTGCTGTCAAGCTGTTTGACGGCATTGATTTTTTGTATTACAGCAGCAACAGGTCACGGGTGAAACTGAGATCTTTTTTTTTTGAGGTTCCTACACACAACATACGTATGTAATCTTACCTTCCCCAAAGAGAGATACGGGAGTTCAAACAGGGAGAATTTACCCGGCTCCATGGTAATGTTTTCAAAGCTGCAGAGCAGCTCCCAACCTGATTGATGGGTCCTGAGGTAACTGGATTGTGTGCTGGTAATTAGCAGGAAACCAGTTTGCCCCAGAGGTTATCCAGTCTGTATAGCTCTCTGTGTCCATTTTAGTGGGATAGGTGAATTAGGTGCGTGTATCTAGATACTAAAAGCAGAAGTTTCCCAGTGGATTCCAGTTGAAGCCCTGGTTGTACTGGAAATGACAGTCACCTCGGCGGGCTGAAGGGGCGTTTCCAATAGGAGAATTGAACGATGTCTCATTTTTCTCTCCTCTGCAGCATGGACAAGGACAGTCAGGATGTTCACCAGGTGCTGAACGAGCTGAAGAACAAGTTCCAGGAGATGAGGAAGCTGATCAGCTCCATGCCCGGCATCGGTGTGAGCCCAGAGCAGCAGCAGCAGCAGCTGCAGAACCTGCGGGAGCAGGTCCGGACCAAAAACGAACTGCTGCAGAAGTACAAGAGCCTTTGCATGTTTGAAATCCCCAAGGAGTAGGATTTGCTCTGCTCTCCGGGTCTGAGATACCGCCTCTCCTGGCTGAACAGGAGAGAAAAAAAGTGACAGAAGTTTACATTTCTTTCTTTTATGCTTTTTTTTTGGTGGCATTGCTCTGAAGTTGTGTCTGTGTGGATCGCAGGCGTGTGACACTGAACCAGAACACTGTGTGCTTCACACATGACGATTGCAGCGGCACGTTGACTTTGATCTGCTGTAGGACTGTGCATTTATATATGCATCTCTTCTGTTTTCTCTTGGGGAGGGGTGAGGTAGTATTTTTTTACATTCAAGCAAGCAAGAGACATTATGTTTTTTTCTTCTCTAAGGGTCAAAGTACCTGCTGGTTAACTTCAACAAGAAAAAGGGGACATTTTCTGCATTTTTTTTTTTTTTTTACTTAAAAGTGGCCAAACATCAAATAGGAGCATTAGAGGCAAGTGTGAGCTGTTTGGCTCCACTCCTGGAAAGGGTCTCTGGGACACTTTCCAGTCTCAGTGTGTCAAAAGAGGAGAGATTGCTTTCAGTTACTTTTGTATTTCTCTCTCTTTCTCTCTTTCTAAACAAGTGCTGGTTGTGTCTGAGATGAGTCAAGTAAAGATGGTGAAATTCCAAACTGCCCCTCTCTTGTGTATTCACTGAGTGGATGCGGGCTGAGCTGGGGCAGGATTTTGGCAGCGCAGAGGACGTGTGTAGCCTGGGCCCAGCTTCTGCCTCTTGACATGGCTTTTTGGGAAGCGGGGTGACTTGGGAGAGCAAAGCAGGGACTGCTGGGAGGGTGGATTCTGATAGGCTTTGGGTGTGTAAGTGCGTGGCGACTGCATCTTGTAGGCAGCACATGGGGCATCTTGCTCTTAAAGCGGAGGAAGGGAAAGCAGAATCAAAACAAAGGGCATAAATGACAAGAGCTTTTAGTTATTCCACACGTGACAAAAGTCAGGCTCAACAGGACGGGTCAGTTCCACATCTGAAGTGCTCCAGGGGCTTCCCACAAACACAAGCACTCGAGCGGCTCGAACATTTGCCCGGGGCTGATGGAAAGCTCTTGAGTGTTGTATCACAGTCAGACAGATCCCAGGGCTCCCTGCTCTCTCTCCTGCATTCGCTCTTACGGTGGCTGATGGGAGCCTGGTAAGTGGCACCACATCTCACCAACAAAGATGTGATGGGACTTTAAATCTCATGGTTCCCTGAATCACGCTGAAGGATGGTGCAGGTCAGTAGCGGAAAAGGTTAAAAACCATCAAGTGAAACACAATATCCATCCAGAACCAGCTACCCAAGGGCAGGTAGCGCTTGTGCCTTCAACAGAAGAGAAGCAAGGTCTGTTTGGGTGGGATTTTCCTTTCCTAAACCAAGAGGCAAGTCGTTCTGCTGGTGGGGAGCTGGGGTGGCTGCGTCTCACCGGGAGCCAAGAGATTGCTCTGTTCCCGCTGGAATACTTTGCTAGTACTTTCTTTGGGAAGGTGCCAGTGTGTAAACCCTGAGCAAAGCAGAATACCAAGGTAAACAAAGCACAACGTACGCTCTTTTTATTACTGAAATTACCTTTCTGCCAGCGATTGCCTATCCCAGCTCAATAAATTCTTGTGTCTCATGCCTGGACAGTGGTTTCCCTTTATTTGCTGGTGGCTGTTCCTGTGAAATCAGGGCATATGCAGAGCTGGAAGAAACAACGTGTTTCCAAAGAAGTATTTGGCACTGAGTGCAGGAACAAGTTAACTCTGTCAACTTGAATCCAAGTTTCAAACGAAACTGAAGCGGTTTGCTTTGCAGTTCTCACTCGCCCACCTTCGTTTTGTGGCTTCGACAGAAATCTTTTTGCCATTAAAATGTATTAAATGTAGATTTGTTCTGCCGCTCGGGGAGGGGGGCGAACGGGGGCTGAAAATGAACTGAAAGAAAAGCTGGAGCCAGGGAGAGCTGTTCTTGGAAGAGCTTTCCCCTTTCCCTTTCACTTCCAGCAACGGTTACTGCAACTTGTTATTAGGTAGAGATTAAAAACCATCAAATGCAAAGGTGACCTTTCGAGCAAAGTACTTCCTTTACTCATATTGCAAAATAAAAACAATATCCCGGACGGGGCGCAAATGAATCACTCTCTGTTGACATCATTAAAGCCTGCTTAGTTAATCAGGAAAAAGCATGAAACACAATCAGCTCTTTATAATAAAAGTGATGTCAGTTTGCTCGGTTTCTGCCGTGAATGACATGCCAGTGCCCGGCGTATCATGGGGCTGGCAGGATCGTCACTCGTTAGTGAAGTGAGGAAAGAGTCTTGGCTCGGTGACCCCGTTTGAGTAACTAAGTCTGTGCGTGGCCCCTCGTTACCCCCTGTGTGGCAAGAAACAGGCTGCTTGCAGAGATGGAAACCTTTGCTCTGGGAGTCGGAGAAAATGGGGTAATAATAAAGGGATTGAGTCGAGGGGGCCTTTTTTAGCACCTCGGAGCTGGGCTCAGGTCTCGGTTTAACAGGATTTGGTTTTGCTACGGGGCCGGGTGGAGAAGCAAAGGCAAACCCACAGGTGTGATTTTTAAAAAGATTTTATTAATTTGTAGAAAAAATAAAACATCAAGTTTCACCCACGGTAGAAACACTTGAAGATTTTTTTTGTTCATATCAATGACAACTAATACCTACATAAAGTGCCTATTATTTTCTTATTTAAAAAACCCTTCCCATTTCCCCCCACCCTCCCCAAATCTTGCAAATCAGACAAGACAAATGTAAACAAGAGTCAGGTTTTTTTTGGTCCATCGGGGCTGTAACTCTGCAATGTCTTTGCAACAGCTTAGGAGTGTCTTCTGCACGTGTTTTGCCGACACAGATGAACACACGACACTGAGCCAGAGTCCGTGCACAGCTTCTTAAGTTAAAAAAAAACCGAAAACAAACTAACAAAAAACCACCCCCGAAGCCCCAGGCTCCCTTCTGAGGGCAGTGCCTGAGGCTGGGTGGTTTGGGAGGGAAAGAAACACCAAGGTCCCTGCCCTCCACGCTCACCTGGCTGCCCAGCAGCTCACCCTTTCCCTGTCTCTGCCCAGAGGAGGCTGGTCCCAGCGGCACCCCCCCCTCTCCTGAGCCTCCCCCTTCGCATCCCTCGCTCCCAAAATGCACCCCCGGGGGAGGGAGCCCATGAAAACGGTGCCTCGGGAGGAGGGAGGCTGGGGAAGAGGCGACCCTCTCTTCTCTCTCTGCCCGGGTGTGCGCCTGCCCACCCTCCTGCCTGCCCAAAGTCAGTTTGGAAACGAGCATCTTTCCCCCCTCCCTTCCCTCCTTCCTTCCTTCCTTCCTTCCCATGATGGGGGCGAGCGGGGGCTCCTAGCTGATCACGCAGCGGTCCTTCTCCTTGCTGTGCCCACCACCGATGGCTTTCTCCCGGATGTACATGAGGTCGCTGTGGACGCTGGGTCGCCGGGCGAAGGGGGCCACGATGCCGTACGCCTCCTCCGTGCTGCCCCGACCCCCTTCTTTCAGCAGCTTTTTGCCTTTCAGAGCCTTCTTATGCAGGATGTCGCAGTACTGGACCGAGACCTTGCGGTGCAGGTCAGGGCTCATCTCGCTGGGCAGCTTGGCCATGGCGAAGAGAGCCTGGAACATCTGGTCCAGGCTGCTGTTCTTCTTGGCCGAGATCTCGAAGTAGGCACATTTTTTGGGGTCCCCTCCTACCAGCTGCTCGATCTCCCGGGGTTGCACCTCCCGGTAAAAGTCCCGGTCACCCTTGTTGCCGCAGATGACCAGGGGCACCTCTATGTTCTCCTTGGTTTTGTTCTTCAGGCACGACTTGGTCTCCAGGATTTGCTGCTTCAGGCGCTGCACCTCCTCGAAGGAGTCCCGGTTGTCCAGGCTGAAGACGAGGATGAACACGTCTCCTGGGGACAAAAAGGGATCATGAGATGGTTGCAGGGATGGGGACACATAGAGACCTACTGCCTAAGCCATCTAGAGACTTGGGGAAGGACCTGGGTCCTGCATCCTCCCATCCACCCCGTGCAGGGAGCAAACTTGCCCACTCCGTGCACACACAAAATCCCACCTCCCTCCTCCTGGGACTGGAGAAACATTCCCAAACTGGGCAAGAACACCTGAAATCTGTGAAAGGGACCCCCCACTTTCCTCCTGATCCTCCCCATCAAGTACCTGTGAGGATGGAGAGGCGACGCATGGCTGGGAAGGGGTGGTTGCCCGACGTGTCCAGGATGTCGAGCTGGTAGACCTCACCGCGGATGCTGTAGAACTTGCGGTGGAAGTCCTCGATGGTGGGGGTGTATTGCTCCTCGAAGCGGCCGGTGAGGAAGCGCGAGACGATGGCCGTCTTGCCCACCTTGGAGGAGCCCAGGATGACCATGCGGTAGCAGTTCTTGGCGGGGATGCTCAGCTCGGCCTCGCTGGGACACATCTTCTTGATCATCGCTGCCAGTTTCATTGAAGCCGGCGAAGGGGCAGCTTGCGCCGAGAGGAAGGAGGTGGAGGAGGAGGAAGAGGAGCAGGAGGAGGAAGGCACCGTCTGCCCGGCTGCTCAGCCCCTCTCCCCTCGCAGGAAAGGCCGGTGTGAGCTCTGCACGGCCGCCGCCGCGTTATATGGAGGAGGCAGCGACCGCCCCTCGGCGCGTCACGGCCCGGGGCGGCGGCGGCTGAGTCAGTGCACGGCTCCGCCCCCCCCCCCCGGCCCCCGCCGCAGCCCGGCTGGGGCTCCCGGTGCTTTGCAACCCGGTCCCGTTTGCAGCCCGGGGCGCACTCCCGGTGCTCTGCCAGCCCGGTCCCGTTTGCAGCCCGGTTGGGGCTCCCGGTGCTGCTCAGCCCCATTCCCGTTCGGAGCCCGGTTGAGGCTCCCGGTGCTTTGCAGCCCGGTCCCGTTTGCAGCCCGGTGCGCGCTCCCGGTGCTCTGCCAGCCCGACCCGTTGGAGCCCGGTTGGGGCTCCCGGTGCTTTGCAGCCCGGTCCCGCTTGCAGCCCGGTGCGCACTCCCGGTGCTCTGCCAGCCCGGTCCCGTTTGCAGCCCGGTTCTCACTCCCGGTGCTCTGCCAGCCGGACCCTTTGGAGCCCCGGCCGGGCTCCCGGTGCTTCGCAGCCCTGTCCCGTCCGCAGCCCGGTTCGCACTCCCCGTTCTCCACTCCCTGTCCCGTTTGCAGCCCGATTCGCACTCCCGGTGCTCTGCCAGCCGGACTATTTGGAGCCCCGGCCGGGCTCCCAGTGCTTCGCAGCCCTGTCCCGTTCGCAGCCCGGTTCGCACTCCCCGTTCTCCACAACCCGGCCCCGTTTGCAGCCCGGTTGGGGCTCCCGGTGCTGCACACCCGGTGCCGTTCACACTCCCGGTAACGTGCGTCCCGGCCCCGTTGGCAGCCCGGTGCGGGCTCCCGGTCCCGTTTGGAAGCCGACCCCTTTTGCAGCTTAGCCCGGGGCACACCCGGTCCCGTTCACACTCCCGGTAACGTGCGTCCCAGCCCCGTTGGCAGCCCGGTGCGGGCTCCCGGCGCCCCGCAGCCTCCCGGGGCTCCGCACGCCCGGCGGTGGGGTCGCCCCGAGCGGGACCCCTTTGCCGCCCGCACTCTCCGGGCGCGGGGAACCGGGGCAGAGAGTACCGGGTGTGTGTGTGTGTGTGTCCCCGTGTGTGTGTGTCCCTCCCGTTTGGAAGCCGACCCCTTTTGCAGCTCAGCCCGGGGCCCCGGTGCTTTGTACCCCTCCCGTTGGCAGCCCGGTGCGGGCTCCCGGCGCCCCGCAGCCTCCCGGGGCTCCGCACGCCCGGCGGTGGGGTCGCCCCGAGCGGGACCCCTTTGCCGCCCGCACTCTCCGGGCGCGGGGAACCGGGGCAGAGAGTACCGGGTGTGTGTGTGTGTGTGTCCCCGTGTGTGTGTGTCCCAGCCCGCTCTCCGCTCTGCTTTCACTCCGTTTTACACTTTCTCTCGGTGAAGAAGCGGGGGTGTGCGGGCACCTGCCCCGCAGTCAGACCAGGGAAAAGCCCCTCTACGGTGGGTGCGGGGGGTTGGAGGAGGGAGACATCCCCGGATGCCCCCGGGAAGGAGGGTCTTTGCCTGGCGGCTCGTCCCTGAACCCCGGCCCCGACCCCCGACTCCGGATCCCAGCCCGGTCCCGGGGCTCCGAGCGCGGTGCCGCTGCAGCGCCGCCTCCCCCCCGCTAGGGGGCGCTCGGGGAGGGCAGCGCCAGCAGGGCAGGCAGGGGACGGGCAGGGGACAGAATCACAGAATCACAGAATCAAGGGCGGGCAGCGCCAGCAGGGCAGGCAGGGGACAGAATCAGAGAATCTTCTAGGTTGGAAGGGACCTTAAAGATCATCTTGTCCAACCGTCAACCTAACTTTGACAAAAATAGACACCCGCACAACAAACAAGGAGCATCATCACTAAACCAGACCTCCCAGCACTACATCAACCCGTCTTTTGAACACCTCCAGGGATGGTGCCTCAACCCCCTCCCTGGGCAGCCCATTCCAAGGGCTGATAACCCTTTCAGTGAAAAAATTTTTCCTAATATCCAGCCTGAACCTCCCCTGGCGTAACTTGAGGCCATTTCCTCTTGTCCTGTCGCCTGTGACTTGAGAAAAGAGACCGACCCCCATCTCTCTACACCCTCCTTTCAGGGAGTTGTAGAGAGCAATAAGGTCTCCCCTCAGCCTCCTCTTCTCCAGGCTGAATAACCCCAGTTCCCTCAGCCTCTCCTCATAAGACTTATTCTCCAGACCCCTCACCAGCTTTGTCGCCCTTCTCTGGACCCGCTCCAGCCCCTCAATGTCTTTTTTATGGTAGGGGGCCCAAAACTGGCAGGGCAGGCAGGGGATAGGCAGTATCACCCCAGGCAGGGCTGGGGTAGCAAGTCCTGGGGGCAAGAGCCGCAGCACAGGGGACTCAGCCCCTCTGGGGGGCTGCCTGAGGAGGAGGAGGGATGCTGGCAGGGATGCAGGTGGCAGGGATGCTCCAGGTGCGGGCAGGATGCAGGGACTTGCTTCACATCGGGGTCCTGATCTTGTTGGGTGCTGAGTTAGTTGCTGGGTCTTACTGGAGCCCCTTCTCCTTCCCCTGCCCCCTGAGACTGCGAGGCTGCAGCGTGTTTGACTTAATCAGAGTCTTCCTGAGCACCTGGGCAGGAATCCTTGGGGAAATGGGAGTGTTGCCGTGCTGAGGGATCCCTGTGCCACCAGTGAGCGAGAGACGGGGCCCAAGGAAAGCCCTCAGACCCCATCGGGCTGATGAGAAAGTTTGAATCAAAAAAAAAACCCCACAAACCTATGAGAATCTATTAGTAAACAAACTTTGCAAAAGGTGATGCTTAAATAAGGTTCAGGATAGCAGAAGCCTCACCTGCAACATCGAGAGGGACCTCAGGGTCAGCTAGAACACATAAATTTGCGCGGGGTGGTGCGTTTCATCAGCACCACTGAGCTTTTCATCTCCCTGACGTGTGGTCTCAAACTTGGATATTAATTTAAATACATTTTCCAAGGTTTACGGAGGAATTACGGTCATCTGTGAGGTGGGAGGGAGCAGCAGTTGAGGCAGCAGCCCCGTCCCTGCCTGCAGGGAAGCATCCTGCCCGGCAGCAGAGGCACAAGGACACTTTGGGGAGAGAAAGTGGGACAGTTTCCCATGTTTATTGATCTGTGTGCGCGACAGCGAAGAGGTTTAATAGCCCTTCGCAGAGCACAAATGGATCACCCCGAAATAACAAAAAGATCATTTAATTGAAGCACTTGATGGAAAACAACAGGGGGAATAGGAAGCGCTGACCTCTGGGGGACAGACAAATCGAATATCTTGATTGGCGTTTATTGTTAACCATACAACTATTAATAGTGCCAGGAACAGGCAAAAATAGCCTGCTCAAAGCCTACTCTCCGAGGCTTCAGCAACGGAAAATCTATTTGCTCCATCCAAAAGGCCCGTTGGCAACAGCACAGGCAGAGCACACCACGAGGCAGATGCTGCTGGGACCCTGTGGGCTCAGCTCAGGGGTGAGGGGTGCGACTGGAGCCACCCCAGAGCAAGGGCAGGGACCCCAGGAACATGGGCAGGGACCCCAGATGTGTGGAGGAAACCTGATGGCTGCGGGAGCTCCTGGGGAGCAGACGTGGGTGCTGCCTGCACTATCCCAGAGCCCAGCTCCTCGCAGAGTGACGCAGAAACCAAGGAGAGGAGCATTACGAGGCATTAGGCTGAGTCCCCTTAAGATCATCTAGAAATTCATCTCCTGGTGGAAGCACATTTGCTGGGAGCCGGCTGCCAGTGATGGATGATGAAGGATTCACCTCGCTGCGAGGCAAAGCCATCCCACGGTTATGACTCTGTTAAAAATCACCACCTATTTTTGACCGGGCTGCAAATAGCCCGCGTGTTATAAGCAGGGGCAGGTAAATCAGCATTTTCCCCCTCGGCCCCCGTACCACCCGCGCAGAGTTTGACCCTGCTGTTTGCAGGATGTTTTGCTCCTCGCCTGGTTTTGGAGGATAAGGGCTTTTTCACACAGCTGCTTGGTACAGCAAGAGCCTCAGGCAGGTTGCTGTGCGTGCAACCCAGCGACTGCAGACACCTTTAATGAAATCGAACATCTTTAGCACAGATCAATCCCCGCTTTCTTGCTGTTTCTCTCCCTATTTTCACCCTCCCAGGTTTTACCAGCCACCTGCCAACAAACAAAACCCACCCGGCCGCCGGGAGCAAGTGGCTGAGGGAAGGAAATTCCACGAAAGTCACACAAACATCCCAGCAACAGAACATGAGGCTCCCCAGGGTCCGGCTTGGACGAACTGTGCAAGCAGCAAAATAAAGCTCACAGCAGCTCCAGCCTCTGAAAAAATGTAGGAAGCAAGATGTACCAGGAGGCAGGAGCATCGTGGTGCCCGGCCCAGGGACAGGGGAGTGTGGGGATACTCGGAAAAGAACAATTACATGAGAACATGAGTTTGATTTCTGAGTGTGCCGTGGAGCCGGGAAGTCTCATCACCCGGGGTGGGGGTCGAGCAGGTCCCGGTTCCCAGCTGGGTCCTGAGGGTCCAAGCAGTGACAAGGACAAGGCAGGAACAGCCGTTTGTGCCTTTCCTGCCCCGGCACATCCTATCCCAGACCACAGAGAGGAGAACATCCAACACGAACTCCTTATTTTTGCTGTTAAGATGCTTCATGTCCTCCCAAGGGCTTGTTCCCTGACAGATCCCACAGACTCTCCTGGACCACAGAGAGGAGAACATCCAACACGAGCTCCTTTTCTTTGCTGTTAAGACGCTTCATGTCCTCCCAAGGGCTTGTTCCCTGCAGAGCAGCACACCGCATTCCCTGGCTCCAGAGGGGGCTTTGAGATTATGCACATGGAGCCAATCCTGCTCCCCAGCTTGGCTCTCCTGGCTCCCCAATTCCCACTTTTTCTCCCCCAGGACAGGGACCTGTTCTTCAGACAGGGACCCTCTCCCTGTTCGGTGTACAGCCTCCCGGTGTGCTGCTCGTTAGCCAGCTCACAATTAACCAGCATGGGCTGTGCGATTCCCAGTGGCTGCTGGTGAACACTGGGGTCTTGTGGAACCCCAAATCCTGCCCTGGCTGCCCCCCTGGGACGGGAGAAGGAACGAGGGGCCAGAGGACAAGGGGAGCAGCTGGGTAGGGAAGGGAAGGGAGGGTTTAGCTATAGCTCTTGCTCGTCCCCGTGGGGAAAAGCATCTGATTAAATCAAGATGCAGCATCCAGGGTTGCTATTCATTCCCTATATTATTAGCTTGTCTCATTTTATTAAATCTCCTTTAAGGCTTTTCAAAAGAAGCACGTAATTCACAACATATAATTTTTCCCAGATGAGATATGATGCAGAAGTGGGCTGCTCTGTCGCTGGGGACCGGGGCGAGGCGGGGGGTGGTGGTGGCTTTATTTGTTTCCTTCCCCCACCCCCTACTTCTTTAGCAACACTTTTCATGTCTCTTGATTCCTTTTAGCATTTGGGATTTGATTAACAGAGAATTTGAAAGCCGGAGACATGTCTCAAATCCCCAATTCCTTGAGTCATCCAGGCACGGGGTGGTGAGAGCTCCCTCAGAGACTCCATCCCTGTTCCTGGTGAGATGCAGCTCCCAGAGCAGGCTCATGCCGTGGTCTCCGGATCTTCTGCATCTGCTCCCCTTCACTCATCTTTGGTGTGAGCTTGTTGTGATAAACTCCAAAAACCCACAGCTTGTTGTGATAAACTTCAAAAACCCCTCTGGAGGATTCCTTGGTGCTGCTGCTTTCCTTCCTGGCAGCTCAAACATGCAGGCAAGGTCTCTGCTCCCCGTTTCCATCCCATCTCATGCCACCCTCTTTCCTGCAGTTTGCTGGGAGGCACCAGGATCCAGCCAGCATCCAGCATGGATAAAGGCGTTTACATGTCCTGGATGTGTCCCCAGACTCCGGCACCTTCTGCTCCCTTCCAAAGAGCCGCAGCCTCCCTGGGATTAGAGAGAAATGTCACCTGTAACCAGAGACGGGGCTTGGAATATAGGGCACGGGGGAGAGGGAGGCTGGGTGACCCTCGTGGACACATTGCTACAGATTTCAGGAGGGTTCCCATGGAAATAGCAACGGCTGCTGGGGTTAGAGGACAAAAATAAAAGCCCAAGAGGAGGCAGGGAGCCGGCTGGGCAGAGAGGGGATGGAGCTGGCAGAGGGATGCTGAGGGCTCGGAGCTGGGAGGTGTTTTGGGTCCAGGTCTCACATGTGTCCCTGCTACTTTGGCTGTGGGAATGGAGGGGGCTGAGGCCAGAACAGGGCTTGAGGCTGTGGGTTGAGCTGGACAAGAGCTGAGCCCCAAATCAAGGAGCCTGGAGGCTCCTGAAAATGCTCAGCAGCAAAGCAGGACTGAAAGCAGAGCTCGGCCCCAACTTCTCCTTCCCTGGGAGGGCTCCCTCCTGCGACCCTCATTCAGAGAGGAGCTGCCCTCGGTAAACCTTTCCGCTCCGAAGAAAACACAACATGGAAAAAGCAGCACATTCCTACCATTATTATTATTATTTTTTTTTTTTTGGAAATAAGATCCAAGGAGGATGCGGCGCAGCGTGGCCGGCTCACCGGGCTGTCTTTTTAGTGTGCAAATTAAAGAAAACAGCCTCGTAACTTGTCCTCTGGCACATGGCGGGAGCTCCGTGCGTAAAGGAACCCCGGGGTGGAGGGCGGAGGGGGGATGGGGTGGGGTGGGATGGGATAGATGGTGTCTCTGTGCTGTCCCTGGCAGGGGAGATGCGAAGGGCAGGAGAAGGGTGGGCATGGGGTGCTGCTGCTCTCCTGATATTTGGGGTCATTTTGGAGCATCCCCTGGGACACCCAGGAGAGGGGGGCTGCCTGCGGCCGCACACCCCACAGCAGGAGCCTGCCAGGGGTGACCAGGCAGCTCAACCCTGGCATGGGACGGATCCTGGTCCTGCTCCAGGCATTTTCTGGGGCTCCAAACTGGTGGTTTCCCACCTGGAAATTGCTTCCTACCAGGACCTTCTTCCCATTGTGTTTCTCCGTGACCATTTAAAGCCCAGACCGCTTTTCCTGGGCAGCAGGGATGGAGGAGACTGGTTTGTTCCCCTGTAAAAATAACTCTTGTCCTTTCCCCCATCTGCCTTCTCTGGATTAAGGGGTCCCCAATGAAGCAGCCAGTGCCCAAACTGTGGAAAGTTGAGCCATGTGGAAGTTCAGCCCGGGCACTGGGATGGATGTGGAGCCTCCACGAGAGCCCGGAGCACCCCGTTTCCCTCCATCTTCCCGAACAGCAAAAGTGCAGACTCAGCAAGCTGGGGCTGGCAGGAGCCCAAGGGGAATGGTGACTTCTCCATCGCTCCACTGGTACAACACAGGCTGCCTTGATTGCTCCCTGTGTTTATTTTCCGTTTCTGACTAATCGTGTTTGTTTGCCAACGTAAGGGCCGGTGGCCGTCCCTCCCCGGGGTGAAGGCAGTTCAGTTTCACTGGGCGAAAGCAAACACGAGCGTGGGGGTTACCAGTGGTCACAGCGGAGGGGAGAGCCTTTGAAGATGTGTCCCCAGTTCCGGATGTCCCCACCATCAGGTTGCCTTCAGCAAAGCACCTCAGGATGTGGCCTCCATCTCCCAAAGCGCCCCTGGATGAAGCATCCCGTGAGCGTGGAGCCGGCCCCGTGTGGTGTGTCCATCACTGGGACCGTTTGGGTTTGTCCAAGTGATCCCTCACCCTCCAAAAAAATATCACATGCAGTGTCAGGGAGGGGAGACATGTGCCCAGGAGCCACACAAGTGGCCACACAGAGAAAACCCAGGTGGGCACAGCCACCCTGGGGGGGGCTGAGTGGCAGGACAGGGTGACCAGGGGTAGCACAGTGCAATGGACTTGGTGACCCGGCCGTCCCTGCCAGGCCGGAGTTGTCCTTTAACTAGTTTCTCCTTTCCCGGTGTTTGCTCCGGAGAAATGTCCCCAACATCAAGGGAGGCGTTATCTGCAGCATCTGCACACAGCCTCACGTGTGGCATTTCCCAAGGCTGCAAACACCAACACCCCCCCACCCTCTGGCCAAGCTCAGGTGGGCCCAGCAAGCCCCAAACTGCATTTTGAAGCCATGAAGTTCTGAAAAAGGACCCATGACCACATTTCCATGGACCCCGCTTGGTGCTCAATGCATCCCCAAGAGCTGGAAGGATGCACCCCACCATGGTGGGGCTGCAACCGGCTGGTCCTGGGGGCCCAACGGAGGAGGTCTCTCCTTGGGAAGCAGCAGGGGTCCCACACCCCAACCTAGAGGCTGTGGGGGTCTATCCCTGCATCAATGCAACATCCACTGGGGATGGGAAGGGGGGAAATAGCTCTGACACCACCAAGTACTTCATGCTCAGCCTGATGGGGATTCATCCCCACCCTCTATAATCTCAGCTTCTTAGAAATATGAGGTAATTGAAGAGGAATCACATTTTTCTCCTTACAACCAGGAAGAGCCCCCTAATCCCTCATTGTTAAATGCTATGAAACAATATAAATAATGTGTTTTCCTCCACACAGCACCAGTGAGTGCTTCTCCTTACAACCAGGAAGAGTCCCCTAATCCCTCACTGTTAAATGCTATAAAACAATATAAATAATGGTCTCTCTGTGTTTTCCTCCACACAGCACCAGTGAGTGGCTCGGCACCGCTGGGGACTGGCCCCAGCCAGAGCCAACCCCCTCATCCCAAAGGAGAAAAGTTGGCTTGGACCCCACGAGATGGGCTTGAAGATCACCTTCCTCTTGGTTTTGCTTTAGGGAACAGAGCAGAAGCCTCTGAAATGTCAAAACTCCAGCTTTACGGCAGCCAGAACCAGTTCTACAATGCAGCAACACATTAATCCGTGCTGGCTGCTGCAGGAAGAGCTACTAAAAATGGGGATTTATCCGGCATAGCCCCAGAAAAACTCTTGTGCAAGGCAAAGATGACACGGAGCGGCTGGGAAGTGGGAAGGGCTGGGTTTGAGATGGTGGATCAAGGGGGTAGGACGCTGTGAAGCTGGTCCTGGTGCAGCACCAAACCCCTGCGCTTTTGGAATGCTGTGGGCATCCGTCACTGGGGTTTATGATGACTGACACCCAATTTGGGGGGCCAAACCTGTCTGGGGAGGGGAATGGTACAACTGGGGTCCCCTCAGTCTCGTGGCAGGGACAGGGAAAGGCATATGTGATCCCCAGACTGGGAATGAGACAGCACAAATACAGCCCTCGCTGAGTTCTCGTTAAGAATAATCCTTCCCGAACAAGCACGTGTCTCTTCGGTAAATACTGATTTCACTGATCAACAAATCTCAATTTATTTACATCAGAGACTTTGAGCCAGGACTGGCAACTCTGACATAAATTGTCTGAATAATGCAATGTATCCTCTCCTTGCTGGTTGCTATGGGTACTGGGCTGTTTTAGCCTCCGTCTATAAACATTAACTGTGAAGGGGATGTGGAAACTTATCTAAAAATAAAATACTATGCCCAAATCTTTAAGAGGAAGGTCGTTGAGATGGAGATAAATAAAAAATCCTTGTGTAATGGTTCTGGAGCGGTGAAACACAAACACAGCGTCCGTGAGCCGGGACGAAGGAAACAGAGGCTGGACTGAAAAGAAACCAACATTTTAATTCCTGCTGAGCAATGCCCGAAGGGTGAATTACAACATGCAAAAGCAAAAGGAAATTGGACCGTTTCGTGGAAGGTGACACTGAGAAAAGGGAGGACCCTCTGCAGAGGGGACTACGTGATGCTGAGACGTGGCACCGCATCCCAGGAGCCAGCAGCAGCGCAGCTCCCTTCTCCAGCCCCGCTGCCAGGGGCTTTACATTGCTTTTGGGTGGGTTTTTGTGGTTCTTTTTTTTTTTTTGGTCATTTACAGCTTATTTCTCAAACTGTTCTGGGAATCTGTAAACACTGAGCCTGGGTCTGGAGCATCACCCCTGGGATCTTCCCGTTCAGGGCAGGATCCAGCACCGGGCTCTTTGGGACTCGGGGAGGCTGGTGGCAGTGGTGGAGGGGCAGATCCGTACCCGGCTGCTGCAGAACGCAGAAGGAAGAAGCAGCCTCTTCTCTCCCTCCCTCCCTCCCACCCACCGCCCCTGCAAGGCAGTGAAAAATAGCTGGAAGGCACTGGGTGGTGGGGAAGGCAGGCAGGACCCTCGAGTGGCCCCCGGGGAAAGGGAAGGGCTGGATGGGTGTGGAGGGGACCAGGGCTCAGACACGGCCAGGGATGGGGTATCTGCAGGGTGTGGATGGGGATTGACTCTTCCCTTTGGTCTTCTCCACGCTGGGGTTTCCCCATGGGATGGCTTCCATCCCCCTTGGGCAGTGGTTTTGGTTGTACATTCAACATCTACGTGCTTTTCAGTCACCTTTCTCAGAGCCTTTGCCAATGGTGTGGAGATGCTACAGGTGGGACATGGCAGCTCTGGGTGGGGAGGTTTCCCTCTCTCAGAAAGAGGGGAGTTTGTTGTTGGGTCTAGAGCAGGTTCTGCTGTTGCTGAGTCCTTCCCCAGCCGTGTTTGAATCCCACAGGGGCTCCCGAGCCCTCTCCATCGCTTCGCTCGAGCTTCTGTTTGCTTCCCATGGCTCTTCGGCAGCATCTTCAGGATCAGACGGAGCTGATGCTCCCCCACGCTCAGAGTTTGCTCACAGAAGGCCCCTGGTGTCTCCACCTTGCCCTCCAGTCCAAGGCTAGAGCTGGGTTGCTTTTTCCCCTGCAGATCTCAAACAATTGATGCGGGACAAGAGGTCGGGAGGTCCCAAACCATGTGGCTCCCAGGAGAACATGGCCTTCCCGGCAGGAGCTGCAGTGACCCGGCAATGGGGACAGAGACCTGGGGACAGGGACCTCCAGCTCCCGCGGGCTGCAGCGAGGAGGTGCCGCCACGCTCGGGCTGTTCCTCTGATCGCTTCCAATACTGCAGGGTGCTCAGTTGGCTCATTAAGGGTTGCTGGGCTAATTAGTAGGATACATCTCAGTAGGAAAACAGGCAAATCGGACAGCGTGGGGACCGGAGAGGCCCGCTGTGCCGAGGTATCCAACGCTGCTTCGAGAAAGGCAGAGAGACAAGAGTCTGTTATGGACCTCACTGGTTCTACAGCATCTTTGCTGGGCCAGCAGTGAACTGTGTGCTGGTCCAGCTTCTCCCACTGCCAGTAGGTAGGTATACTGGGAGCTTCCAGGGGGGGAATTTAACCCCAGGGAAAGGAGCCTGGGCAGAAACTTATGCTTTTGTAGAAACCTTTGGCCCTCAAAAGCAAGCCCAGGCTGAATTTTTGGGGTGAGCTGATGCAAGCCCATGTGTAGAACGCTCTGGCTTGGAGCAGCATGAAGCTGGGATGCCCAGTTTCCCTGCGGGATGGTCCAGCACACGTGCCCTCTTGCACCATCCCTGCCGCTCGCTGGAGCCCCTGTCATGGCCAATAGCTGCTTTTTTTCTGCCCAATTTCAACTAAGCCTGGAGCCTTGAAGCTCCCCAGCAATTTTCCCTTGCGCCAACACTCAAGTATATAATCAAAACAATTAGGGGGTTGCTGGTCGGGTGCCAAGAGGCGGACACAACCACCGCTGTGTAAAGCTTTCCTGCCCGGGTTTTTGTGAAGATTTGAAGCTCAAATCCTTTAGGAAGTGCAGGAAGGGCTCTAGAGGAGCCGGGAAGGGCTGGGCGCATGGGAGGGTGGGTGGTTGCTCCTGTCCCCATGTAACGCATCGTAGGTGGGGGAGCCCAGCAAAGCAGCCCCTCTCGCTGAATCTCCCATCAGCAAACATACCTGTGGCTACTTGTTCTTCGCTCCCTTCTGTTTCTGCTGATATATTTCCTCTGTGAAAGGCCTGTGGTTGGGAGGACGGGAATTTGGGGAGAGACATAAGACAGGGAGGCAACAGAAGCGGGGAGGAGAATTAAAATCAAGACTACTGCGTGCTCTCCTCTGGGCCCAGAAACTCTGCCCTTCACAGGCTGGCACAGCCTGACTATCCGTGTGCCAGGGCAATCCTTGGCTCCATCTCTCTGGACCATGGAGTGGCTCCAAGCAGCTCCCACCCCGGACCATCCCTGCGCTGAGCGGGATGAGGCTCAGCACATGGTGGACTCCCCCAGGATGCAGACGGGCTTCAGCTCTCCTCTACCTCATCCTCCCTCGCAAAGACAAAAGGCTTTTCACTGCCAAAGTACAACTGCCATTTCTGGGAATAATTCTGGGCTGCTCTGTCCTAGGCTGCCAGGCTATTGTGGTACAAAATATCAGAGAAGCCCATCCAAGGAACTACAAAACGCAAGCTCTTCTTGCAGGGTCTCTTCAGAGGGGACAGTGAGTCCTCTCCCTGCCTTCCTTATTGTTCTTGTACAGACAGAATCAGGAACCCGTCAGGGAAAAAAAAGGTCTCATTTTGATAAAAATAAACAAATGCATAAATGTTCCTAGAACTCAGCAAATAGTTTCAGAGTGGAATCTGCCCATTATCAAAACAATTGAAAAACAATCCTCTGTTTTCCTTCTTCCCCGCTGAATTAATTGGAAAAAAACATCTCTACTTCTGCAGTTCCCCGAAACCTGGGGAGTTAAAGCTGGTAGAAATAATTAGAAGCTCTCCAATTTTGCAGAGCTACTCACCCCTCATACAGCATGGCGATTGTGTAGGAAATTGCCACTACAGCTGTCAGCAGAAGGCCAGCTGGGCTTGCGTGCCTGTTTTGAAAGAGAAGGAAAAGATCAGGTAAGTACATGGGCTTATGCAAGACCTAGTTTAGAAAGTGAAATGAGACGCTGGGCTCCATGAGAGCACTCTCCTGCTCATTAATCAGAAGCGAACAAAAGGGGTTTGTTTTGTGGGTTGTTTTTTTTTTTGTACTTAATGTTAACTGTCTTAGACAGATGTTACTTGGCAAAGACTCTTCCCCAGCCTACTTCAGCGACTTCTTTTAAGTCTGATCCCTCCACGTCTCTGCTAAGAGAGCTTCTGCTTTGATGCTAAGTCCTGAGATTATAAGGCTGTTTAATAGCTGAGCAGCTGCTTACGTACGGCTGTGGCTCCCAGCCAGGGCTATAAGGGAAATGCCTGATGTGCACGGAAAAGATGGGCCACCCAGGGTGCAGGAGACACCTGGCAGACGGAGCAACGTATGGTACCCTATACATCCAAACGGTGGCTGAGCCAGCGCAGGACTGGGGATGGAAAGGGATGGAAAGGGTCATGGCTGCTCCCTGAAGGGTGCTGGGGTGGGTGCACGGGGGGCTCAGTTCACATTTAAACCCATTTCAAGATGTTTTAGGAACACAGCCTTTCACCTCCCCAAGAGGAATGCTGTCCTTCAGCAGGATGTCACCAGGCACAGCACGGGGGACCGACGCCACTCGCCTCACAGCACCGTGGTTACGGGCAGAGGGGCTCGAGGGCTGTGGGTGCAATGGGGATGGCTGTTCCTTCCAGCACCAAGGCTGGAGATTCAGGACCAAACGATTCCTATCACCTCCTGCTCTGAAAAGAGATGTCAGCGTAAGCTGAAACCTGCACCACCACCATGGGGACATTTCTTTTGACGCCTGGCCTGAAAGTGTCCGAGGCAGATGCCAGCAAAGGCTTTGCTAAGGAGCCAGGATTTCAGCCAGTGGGTTACAGCCCCCAAACCAGGTGCTGAGACCATCCCAGGGTGTGCAAATTCCCCCAGTGAGAGCGGCCACACCAGTGGCCATCCCCTACTTGCTATCCCAGCACCCACGAGGCCCTGGCCCCATCTCCCCAGCAAGGAGCATGGTTGTATCTGCCTCATTATGCACTACCATCCCCCCCAAAACACCCTTTATGTATCCTACACCTCCAGCTAATGGCTGCAAAGCATTGCCCTTAATTAGGACACTGCTGATTGCCTTTAATTGCTGGTCACAGCTCAGCTCTGAGGGGGGCAAGCGCTGGCTGTCAGCAAAATAAAATAAATACTTTGCTGGTCCTTGGTGAGGATGAACATCCCAAGAGCCTTGTGCAAGGGCAATGGTCCTGCTGGGAAAACATGTCTTCAGAGAGACAGAACTACCTACACCTGGTACTGGACCTGCTGCCAGGTGCTGCCCGGCCACATCAGTTCCTGGAGAGACGCATACGAATCTTCACCTTTTCCCCATTTCCATTTTGCAATAAGTTTTTTTCCCTCATTAGGAAGCATCGGGCAACTTCTTCCTCTCCCAACCCCCTGCTATTACATGCTTAGTCATGTCTCCTCCTTGATTTGTATCAGAGAGAACAAATTTGCATGATTGTTTGTTGACAGCAAGACCTCTAATTGCATCATTTGGCTGCAGCTCCAGCTCTGATTTACACAGCCTGTTGCCATGAGTTAAAACACTTCCCTACCAGAGATACACAAAGCTGTCCCCGAACAGCTAATGCTCCATTTGTCTTTCGGGAGAAACGAGGCTGCTCGACGGGGGTGACGAGAAGCATTTGGGTGAGTTGTTTCTCTCCTCTTACGAGCTCGACCTACTTAATGGGCAATGGCTCGTGTCATAGCAGCGTTGATGATGAGCCAGGAGGGTTTTGTGGTCCTGGTAGGACTTTTTATTTTGGGGAGGTAGGAAGTCTGTACCTCCCCAATTCTTGCTGTAGCTCCCCATGGCTGTGGGTTGTCTGCAAGAGGAGTGGTGAGGGCTCACATCCTTCCCCACCAACCAAGCGGGACACCTTTTCCTCCTGGAGCTCCCATTTTCATGGTGACCAGTGGAGGTGCCTTCTCCAGCAAGCCTATGTGGTGGACGTGTTTATTTTGGCTGCAGAGCTGCCATGAGTCGAGCCAAGGAGAGCTGCAACATCCCACAAAGGGGAAAAGAGTGGCTCTCGCCCTGCGGGATGCCGTTAGGGTTGGCTGGAGCAGGAAGGCAGGCTGGCTGGTGTGCTGCCAGGCTCGCTTACGTTACGTGGTATGTGCCCTTACAGATGAAAATGAATCACTCCTTTGGGCTCCCATGCCACGATATGGAGCGTGATACCTCACCGAGGGAGGACAAATACGCTCTATGTTTTAGATCTGTCCAAAACCAGACAGCAAACACATTCCTCCAGCATTCCTCCCACTGCCACGGAGCTGGGATTTTAGCTTTGGCCTCTGAGGACAGGCACCTAAGATCTTCTGAAAGCCCTCGGACTTCAGTCAGACCTCAGAAGAGACCCAGGACCCCCCCCAAAAAACCTCAACAATCCTAGCTGAGATCCCAGAGAAGAGAAACAGTCAAAAACCCCATGTGAAGGGTTGTGCGGAGCTTCCCCAGGGCAGGAGGGTGGTGTCCTGGTGCCACTTTGCACAGCTCCAGCAATTTGTTAACAGCAATTATTTGTCATGCCTCGCTGCCCTTTATGGTGGCAGCCTTTTACCGAGAAAAAGGAGGCAATGACCCTCTTGTCTCGAGGCGCTTTGAACTGCTTTTGCCCAGGGTTTCTCTGGAAGACCAAGCAACACGCACCTGGTGCGAGGTTGCCCTCTCACAGGGGCCAAGAAGGAACTTCTGCAACACAAACAACAGCTCAGGAGGGTTCAGCTGGTTCTGCAAAGGTTCTAAGAACCACCAGTTTGATGATGAACAAATAAAAATCTCCTTATATAATTCTCCCTGGTCAAATTCCTCTTGAGTGGTTGTAGGGGTGGTGGTGCTGGTTGCCTCTGACTGCGGTGTGGTCTGGGGGGGGTTCATCCCGCCCCAGTTCTGCCCCATTACCCCCAGCAATATATCCACACTGCCCAGCCCCAGCAGCGAGCTCTCTCTGGCTCTTGTGTACCATATCCCAGGGTTTGGACCCAATCCAGTGCCACAGGGGTGCCAGGAAGGCAAACAACCTCGTGCAGCCAGCCCTGACCGCACCGGGAGGGATTTTGAGTGCAGAAGGAACAGCAACAAGGCTCAGTGGAGACGAGAGAGAAACCATCAGCTTTACTTATTACCAGGGGCCAGAAAGCGCTGCACACATGGCTGAAAAGGTGACCAGAAAGTGGCAAAGCACTTAATTTTTTCCACTGAAGTAGAAGAGAGGTGGTCACACTCAGGAGAACCAGCGCAAAATATCTAATGATAACTGCCTGCAATGGTCTACAGGCTCCCAACATAACACAGACAGGGTTTTTGTTTTTTTTTTTCTCCTAGGCAAATAAATAAAATGTGATATTAAATGAAAACCACATAAAACTTGTTACACACGATCTAGTATATTGCTCATTTGCTGCTAAATTACAGCCTATTCATTTCCTCCTAAACAGACTATTAAGCTGTGTTGTACCACGTGAGGAGTGTTTCGGAAGTGTTATCACCGTGCAGTGGGGGAAAGGGTGTGTTGCCTTGTTTTGATTGTCTCAGAGGTAATTACAGGGTCACACTGCTCCCCAGTATCAGTGCCCTGCCCCTGCCAAGTGACACCTGCCATGAGTTGGGCCCTGACTGTTGATTTTTCCACGTGCAGAGCCTGCCAAGGACCCCGTTCAGCTGCAGAGCGTTTGCTGATGCTTCCTCCCCCCCAGCACTTGGCCGCTATTTATTTTTCTACAATTAATGCTGCGAGTCTTTTATGACAGCAGAAGACTTTGCACACACAAAAATAGTCAGGAAGCGAGAAACCAGGCTGTGTTGCATTTTCCCTGCCATTTTTTTTTTTTCACTGACTGCCATCACCAAGAGTTTCTTTGGCCCTCGATGTGTCCCAACACCTTCTGCCCTGCAGACTCCACACTGGCCCTACGACTGGTGCTGTTGGCGGGAGCATGTACTCACATGAGGGACCAGCCCAGGTAGACAGCGGTGCTGCCCCAGTACATGGGATTATCCAGGACGCTGAAGGGGAAGCAGGTCACTTTTGCCTCCATCAGGATGCCGAAGTAATCACCTGCAGAGCAAAGAGAGGGTTTCTCGTTAGGCTCCAATGAAGCTGAGAGTTGCAGGGGGCTTTGGCACACTGATACCCTCCCCACACCACGGGGTATCCCTGCCTGGGAGGCAGAGCAAAGGCAAACGAGGGGTTTTCGCTGCTGATTTCCAGGCTGAAAAAACAGCAACAAATAGGTTGGCTGTTTACTCCATGTCTATCAGCTTTTCCAGGAATGGCTCTTTGCCCATGAGGAAGGTTTGTGCATTACAATGAGGCTACGGCAGCCACGTCCCTCATCAGGAGGCAGCTCTCGAGGTCCCAATTGGCTTTTTTCATTTGAAAACTGCCCGTCTGATGCCACTTGATGAGGAAGCAAGTGCATAGGATCAAAACCATTTAATGGGGAAATAAGACCAGCGCACCGTAATGGTGTTTCGAGATGTTATAATCATGACCGCCACCACCAAATGCCCTCATTCAGTGCCACCCTCATCTCATAGTTCAGAGGATTTCTCAGAATTTCGGAAAATGGCACCTCTGCCTACAAAACACTCAATTATGGGCATGATGATGATAATAGGTGATTGTCATCTATAATGAGGAAAGCTTTCAGAACTGTCAGCATCCAACCAGCTTCCCCTCTATGCTGGAGTAATCCTTCCACCCTCCTGAAAGGAGCCTGGAAAAGAAATGCCAAGCGAGGAGACGTTGTGCAGCTCGTGACAAAGCTCAGCAAGGATTTTGCTCCGTGTCCACTGTAGGAGAAGCATCATCAATCATCGAGGAGCAGTGTTGGTCCACCAGCCCAGGGAGCTGCCATCGCCCTGGGTCGCATTCCCAGCTCTGCTGCCAGCCCGTTCCCTGACCTTGGGCAAGTCTCCTCCATCCCTCCTGGTGCTATTGTGCACCGATCATATCAGTCTTTCTTATAGCACAGAGGGTGGTGAGGATTAATGTATGGTGAGAAAGTGCTTGGAAATCCAGATAAAAGGCATTACAGGAGTACAAACTATTCAAGGTTATTATTATTACCTGGATCGTAGATAGGTGATTGTCATCTATAATGAGGAAAGCTTTCAGAACTGTCAGCATCCAACCAGCTTCCCCTCTATGTTGGAGTAATCCTTCCACCCTCCTGAAAGGAGCCTGGAAAAGAAATGCCAAGCGAGGAGACGTTGTGCAGCTTGTGACAAAGCCCAGCAAGGATTTTGCTTCATGTCCACTGTAGGAGACGCACCATCAATCATCGAGGAGCAGTGTTGGTCCATCAGCCCAGGGAGCTGCCATCGCCCTGGGTCGCATTCCCAGCTCTGCTGCCAGCCCGTTCCCTGACCTTGGGCAAGTCTCCTCCATCCCTCCTGGTGCTATTGTGCACCGATCATATCAGTCTTTCTTATAGCACAGAGGGTGGTGAGGATTAATGTATGGTGAGAAAGTGCTTGGAAATCCAGATAAAAGGCATTACAGGAGTACAAACTATTCAAGGTTATTATTATTACCTGGATCGTAGAGTAATTTCTTTGACCTCACACGGTGCAGAAACATTTATTTCTAAGGATAAACAGCGCCTGCCCAATTAGACAATGCTTTTGGGCTTTAACTACAGGCCACTAAGTGAGATAATTGCCTGGTATTCATACTATATGTTCTCACAGTTACTTGGCAATGCATCTCTGAGATTGTTCTGGTAGAAAGAACACATCACCCCCTGCCACAGCCCATTTCTGTGCTTTCTTATGTGTCAAAATGCTTTATTATACCCTGCCCGCCCTCGCCTTTAGGCTGAACACCTCAGTCCCCAAATGGCGCTGGCACCGGGGAGGTTTGTACAAAGCCCTGGGTCCGTGGGGCTGGCAGGAGCTTATCTAAGCCCGGCACTGGTGGGGCTGTGGGACCCACTGGGCAGGCTCCCTGCAAGCAAGAACACACAGCAGCTGGGGGGAGCAGGCAGCTCCCCCAGGACACAAGCTTTTCTGATCTAAACCCTGCCTCTAACTCCCCACAGTTAAATGAACACGACCACCAGAGAGGACCTGCAGTATTTTAATAGTCAGGCAGGTGCTGAGGTTTGCGCAGCATCACCATGGGCATCTCCTCTCTGCCTTCATTAAGCCCTCAAAATCAGGAATCGGCTCCTTGTCAGGCTGGGGGACTTTGGCATCTAATTTGAGTTAATTTTTGCTGGAGGTCGGTGTAACCATCTCGCTGCACAGGGCAGACACTTTGGATGGTGGCAGCAAAAAGCCATTTGATGCACTCCGCAAGGTCCCCCCCGTGGTCTCCAGTGACTGACCTGGGCTGGAGCACCACCTCTGGGAGCCACCGGCTTCACCATAGCCCAGTGACAGACTTCAGTCAAGTCAGATTTACTGGAAATGTTGGTCAGTGCTGGGAGGAACCGCGCTGGGGCGTGAGACAGATGGGCTCAGACAGGCAGAGCTGCCTCTCGGTGCCCTCGGCCTCCGGGAAGCCAAGCTCTCCTTACTACGTTCGTTGGGAAATAGGGCAAATTGGGAGGCAGATGGTGCTGAACTGATGCCCGAATCCCTGCGAGGGCCTGGTGCAGAGATGGGATTCCAGGAGAATCGCTCCACAGGGGGAAAAGGCTGCATCCAGCCCCTGCAAACAGAGGATGGGGTCGGTGCTGCCGTGGGGGAGATGGGGTGGCACAGAAAGGCTCGTTGCAGAAGGGTGACTCCCGTGGCTCCTGCTGCATTGTTTAGCCCACACTTCAGAGACAAAGTGCTCTGCAGCCACTCCAAAGCTTGAATGTGCTGGTAAAGAGGGATCTAACAGGCAGCCCCAATGCGGTCTCTAGACCCTGCTGTAGGAAAACCCAAGAGGGAAAGGTCAAATTTCGCTCTGGTAAGTTTTTGAAGTACTTGGGTGTCAGAAGCTCTCTCAAAACTTCTCTCAAGCTCAGGTATCGACTGCGAGAAGATGGATGATGCTATAATGCCCTTCTTGCCAAAGCCCTTTGCTACCTGCAGTCAGAAATGCCATCAGCGCTGGGGGACCCTGCTCCTCCCGCAGCGCCAGCACATCCCTGAAACCATGTATGCAGGAGGACACTAGTCCCAGGTGAGTCCTGTGCAAGAGGAGATCCTCAGAGACTGGCAGATCCCTTGTCTACCCCATGGCTGGGTAAGAAACCACACTGAATGGCATTCTCCATTAAGAGTTTGCTGACTTGGACTCGTGGGGGCTTGCATGGAGCAGAGAAACTATCAGTCCAAGGATGGATGCTCTGCAGGGCTCCATGCCTCTGTGGCACAGAGGTCCCGAGCCAATCCGGTTGCACCAGCACATGGTCTTGGCATCCCCCTACCCTGACTCAGCTCTGCCCTGGTGCCCGTCGTGCCCAGGTGAGCAGAGAGAACTGGCCTCGCTCCCTGCTGCGTCACGCAAGGCTTGGAGCCACGCAGGCTCAGCCTGGTGCACTGGTGGCAGGGAGAGCCTCCGCCAGCAGAGAGGATGGAGCAGAAACACCCTATATGGGCCACTAACACTTGCCTCTTCCCTGCCCCAGGGGATACAGGAGCCACCGGGCAGCAGAGCAGAGGGAGAGAGGGCCACTCTCACTGCTTACGCTGAGCCTGACTCACTTGTTTGCATTTCTCAAGCAGTTCAAGTCCAGTGGATCCTCCTGGTCGGATGAATCAGGCTTTACGTAAACAACCCTAGACCTGGCTGAACTTCAGGAGCATTCAAGCAGCTTTTGGTGGTGGGTTCTCCTGTGCCTGGCCTCTCTGGACCTGTCTCCACAGGCACAGCATCTCTCCTGGGGGCTGCGGGTGATTTTGGAGGATGCCGGAGCCCGGTAGCAGGGGGACAGGGCTGTAACACGGGTCCAGAAATGGGGCTGCACAGATGAAGGGTGAGGGCACACGTTCAGGAGTGCTGAGCTCTATTTCTGGTGGTAGGATCTTGGCCAACTCAACACATTTCTTTGCAACTCCACTTGAAACCAGGAAGGCTTATTACCTCCCTCTCTTCTTCCTGGCGACGCTGCAGGAGCTAATTGAATTTGGTTTGTAAAGCACTTGCAAAAGCACAGCCTAAATGCAGTGTCAAAGCTGGGGCTGTGATTATTTCAGCCAGCGGGAGCTGCCCCTTTCCTTAGATATTTATTGTTCCTGTCTCTATTTTATTTTTATGAATTCCACACATACTGGCATGTTTTTAAAGTCAACAACGCTAATAGAATTACTCTCTAAATGTGTGAGCAGGCACAGTGGAAAATGCTTTCTGCCATAAAGCGGCAGATAAAAGAATCTGTCAATGAATGTCAGGTTTATTGCAGAGGGAAGAGCGAACGAGTTCTTGCCTCAGTGCGTGTGTCGAGTGGGTGGGGGCTCAGAGCAAGGCCACCAGACACCTTGCACCCCCCTGTGCTGGTCCTGACCTGCTCGGTGGGGTCTGCGCTTGGGGTCCCTTTTCTGGAGGGCATTTGGACCCTCAGATGATCAGCAGCTTTCTAAAATTCCAGGCTTGACACTGAAGGTGATGGAACTCGCTGTATAAAACCACTACACCATCTTCTCCATGCGAGGTAACAGCATGGTTAGATCACGCGTTGGCATCATAGACCAAATCTAACAGCCCTGAAGGCAACGAGGAAATTCTTAGAGACTCTGCCCTAGCAAAAGACCCCTGCAAAGATTAATCTTCTGGTAAAGCTGTTGAATTTTTAATGCTTACCTAGGAAGGTCCCAGTGAATCCAAGTGCTAAGAAGCTGGAGATGACAAACAGGGTCCCTACAGCCAAGATGGCCAAGCCCGAGTAATAGGCCCAGTGGCAGTCCAGGCCCTCCAGCTTCGGCTGGCTCTTCATGGCTTCTGTGAAGCTGTTGGAGAGACAACAAGGGCTTGTTAAAAGCAGCAACTCTTTACTAACATCACCCACCTCTCCCTGGGAAATGCAGAGCTTTGGGAGAGGATGCTGCTGAGGAGGACCCTTCACTGGGTCCCTTTTTCCACCTGGACCTCCTCACCCTCCCAACGAAGCAAGGAGCTGAACCCTGTGAGCAGCTTGACCTGGGACAGCTATTTCCACTTGCAACCCTTGCTCACTCCTGGAAATACCAACCCCACTGACCTGCAATATCAAAAACTTCACCTTTCTCACCAAACCTCAGGTTTCACCGTGACCAGGAGCTCTGGGAAGGACACCCTTGCCAAACTCTGGAGGCTGCGACGCCTCGGCACAGGATTTGAAGGGTTGGGAACAATCGGCTGGGTTATCTCGTGCTCCCACCCCCATCCCTCTCCATCAAAATATTTTGCAGCCTTCATGTGTGAGCCACGTGCCCAGGAGTGATTCACGGCTGATGCCTGACAGTCAGGGGGAGGATTGGAACAGCGCAAGGAAAATACTAGAGACAGGCATTTTCAAACGCGAACACAGCTGCTCAGCTCCAGGCTTGTTCAGGCATTTCAGGTCTGACCTTCCAAATACTCGTTTGTGAGTGGAATAATTGTGACCCCCTCCTTTCAGCCCCCTGAACTTTGCCCGGAGCAGGGCTTGGCATCTCACATCGCTCTGATACAAACGTATGACTACAAAGGAGACAACGCTGTGACTAAAAGAAAAAAAACATCCATTAATAATACTGAGAGGAGATAACAGCCCCGCAGAGCCGTACGCAGCGTTTCTCCACATGTTGCTGACACATGAGGTAGGAAACTTTGAGCCTTTTTTTTAATGAGCACCCTGGAGGCTGGAATTCAAGTGGAATAACAGCTCTCCCGCGCCTTCGGCCACCACTGCCTGCCAGGCCCAGGCCAGCAGAGCTGCTCCTGCCCATGCTCCTGGGCTGGAAAGTCCTTCCATGACGTTACTTGGAGGGCTCAGGATAGATTTTTTTTTTCCCCCCTGATGTCCAGCTTCTCAAAGCCCTGCAAATCACTGGATTTTCTCTGTTGCCCAAATGAAAGCTGAGAGCAACAATCCTGCCTGCCCTGCTGGTGGACAAGCGGCTGGAAATGCACCTTTCGAAGACTCAAAGACCAGATGGCAAGTTACATGCACCAACCAAAGTCCAGGATGATATTTGAACCCCACAGTTTAAGGACCTGGATGATATTTTTTATTTTCCTTGGAGCTCATTCCTACTAGGTTTTCTACCATTGGGGAGTTCTCAGGAACTCAGAGCAAGCCATTTAACCTCCACTTTGGACTGGAGCAAGGAAACAAAACACAGAGTAAACGTAACGTGCTTGGGAGCGAGCGAGAGCACAGCATCTTGGTGATTTACACTCTGCCCCCACCACTGGAAATTACAGAGAAATTCCCTTTTCCAGGGAGCCGAGCACAGGCAGAGGAATGACAGCGTGGCCTCGGGCGATGTAACAGCACATGTCGCCGGGGCTGGCCCCCCTCCAGCACCCAGCACCTCCCTGCTCTCACCAGGCTCACGTTCCTTTAGCTTAAAATCAGTGGCGATGGGAACACACAAACTTGGCTGCGACGTGAAGCAGCAGCAGCAGCAGCTGCACAACCCTTTGCATCACTTCCCTGCTATTTATTTTTAAATGACACAAGTCTCCCCAGTGAAGAAGCCCAAAGCCGCATCCCTGCTGCCTGGGTTTGGGAGGAAAGCAATTGCCCCCGTGGGGATGTCCCCATCCACTTGAGCAATCCTGGCCAGGCTGTGCTCTCAAAGCACAATGTGACATCCCCAAGGATGCTATGGAGCTCCCACAGAGGAAGATGCTAGTGCCTTTTCACAGCACTGGGGGTTTGACTCTGCATCTGGCCAGGACCTCTCAGATCTCACAGCAATCAAAAAATGCTGCCTGGTGATCCCTGGGGAGGCAGATCTGGGAGAGCAGCACCAAGCTGGCCCCTGCCTGGATCCCAGCCCCCAGCAAAGAGATCACAGAATCACAGAATGGTTAGAGTTGGAAAAGACCTTAAAGATCATCAAGTTCCAACCCCCTTGCCCTGGGCAGGGACACCTCCCACTAGATCAGGTTGCTCAAAGCCCCATCCAGCCTGGCCTTAAATACTTCCAGGGATGGGGCATCCACAATTTCCCCGGATAACTTTTTCCAGTGCCTCACCACCGTGGTGAGATGATCTCCCTGAGATGGGAGAGCAGAGAGATGTGCAGCCAGAGCACAGCACTCGGAGGTTGATTCTCGCTCCAGATGAACTGGATTCACACCGTCTTACATCCTTGAGGCTCTTCTCTCCTGTGCTAGAGACCTGAACTTGGCCTCGGAGCAGGAGAAGAACAAAGGTGGCTTCAAGAGGGTGAACTGGTTGATTGTGAATCAGCCCCTGAGGTTTTGCAACCAGCATGTGACACGGTTCCTTCTGGCAAAGCTGTCTCCCCTGCTCCAGATGATCCCATCCTTCCTTTTCATGGTCGGATGGGCCTGCATTAGTTACCCTCATCAGCATGTCTTGCTCGGTCCCCTGCTGTTTGGCTTACAGCTAGAGAAGGAGGTGTTTGAACGGAGATAATGGACTGCCTTTCCCTCTAGTAATGTTTTATATCTTCCTAAACACACTCTCTATTTGCATTAAACATGATGCGCGCAGGAGTTTTCAGAATTGGTAAATAAACCTTTTAAGCATTTATGATGCTGGGCCACGACAAGCAGCACGGAGTCGTCAATTATTCTGGCATCCGTGGCTGCTCCTGGGCGGCGGGGGAGCCTCACCGCACCGCGTTTCACCCTCCCTGGCAGGGGGGAGGACAAGGTGTTGGCCATCTTCCTTTGCCAGGGGAGCTAGTCATGCAGCCTCGTCTGTCATTAAACCGGTCCCTTCCACCATGTGCCTCTGAGTCACGTTTCTTACAGCATTTATTTCTGGCTGCACGACAAGGCAGCGGCCCAGCTCGGCACCCAAGAGGACACCAATTAAAACCACGCTTTGTCCCAGTACCTGGAAATGCTTTATGTGCTGAGTGGAGCCATTGCCATGGTGAGGAACATCCCTCTTACCAGAGCAGCAGAGGGGTGGGTGGGCTGCGACCTACTTTAATCGCATACCCGGCTGCTATCACGAGGATGTTTCCCCTGGGGGGGAGCCCTGGGAGGTGCCCCCAGCTTTGGTAAATGAAAACTGGGGAAATGAGCCTTCCCCCAACATCTCCCCACGCTTGCCAGCATGAAGCATGATACCACAAGCACCCGTTCTACATCCCAGCAGGGAAAAACCCAAATCCATCACCTCCCCTCTGGCCAAACGGGCAGATTTGACCAATTTCTGGCAAGGTGGGAGCAGCCGTGGTGGCTGCAGTTGGGCTGCACAACTGCCACGGGGTTCTCATGGGGAAGCCAAAGCAGCGGGCATTCTTCTGCCCAAAACCCTTCCCAAAACAGAGACACGCTGGCTCAGACACTCAGCTGTTGCTGCATGTGTGCCACTGCTTTGTGGGCACCACAGAACGGTCTGGGTTGGAAGGAACCTATGAAGGGCATCTAGTCCAACTTCCCTGACATGAGCAGGGACACCTCCCAGGTTCCTCAGAGCCCCGTCCAACCTGTCCTTGAGTGTTTCCAGTGATCGATCATCAACCACCTCTCTGTGGCAGTGTCTTTACCACCCTTACCATAAAAAAATATCTCTTCCTTATATCTAATCTGAATCTACCCTCTTTTAGTTTACCACGTAATAAACCACACGAACTGGAGAAACACTCAAAATGGTCCTGAAGCATGGGGCTGGAGATGTCACACGCGGGTAGGCTCGCAGGAAGAAAGTGGGAGTGAGGGAAATTGGCTGCAGGTCCCCTCACTGGGACACGGCGGGGACACAGGGCCAGGTTTGCACAAGCAAGTGCTGATTTACTCAACTGGAGAATGGCGATTGCAACAGCAGAAAACTTACCAAACCCGCAGCCCAAAATACATCCCCAAAGGCCCCACGAAGCACAAAGCAAACCTGGCAATACTGTACTAAGGGAGCAGCTGAGCTTTTTAGGTCTCTGGGCCTCTCTTGGTGGCCCACAGTCAGCGTATTTCACAATCCCTTCCCCGCAAAGGAGGGCAAAGACCTCGTCCAGCAAACTGGGTCGCCGCTGGGAGCAGCCCAGCAGTGCTGCCTTTGCCTAATCCCAAAAAATCAGCCTGGAAACCGGGGCTGGCAATGGCGATTGGAGCAGAATTGGGCCAGAGACCGGCAGGCAGCGCGGAAGCAGCGGTGGTGGAGGCGTCCGTGGTTTTGGAGGCAGCAGCCGGCGCTGCAAGGTGCCACGCTGCTCACCACGCGGGACGTCGGTCCATCCCCCCAGGCCCAGGGTTTTGTTCCTCTCGGCAAAAGGCAGCAACGTGGGTCAAACCATCCAGTGGTGCCCGGCAGCACACACAGCAACAAAAGATCTTGTTCATTTGGGAAAAAAAAAACAGAACAAAACAAAAAAAAAACAACCCCAAGAATACTGAAATCGTCCTGCCGATACCACCGGCAATTGTTAGCCCAGTCATCATCTTCACAGCTTCTTTTGCCAATAATGACTTTGCTTTTCTGCCAAAGCCAGTGTGCATGTTATTTAGGTCAGTTGGGGGCTGGAGCAGCTTCTCCCCCCACCTCGCATCTCAGCTGCCTGGTTTCTGGATGCCCGGCAGCCATGCCGGGATGGACACAAAGTGCTGGGTGCTGTTGGCTGCTGGGCTTTTTCCTGGCCAGCCACCAGAAGATTGCTGGTAGCGTGGTTCGGAGGGGACATCGGCTCCTTCAGGCCACGCTCGATTCCCATCATCAGGCTCGGTCACTTCTGCACGAAAGGCCCCGTGGTTCTCAGATCGATAGCGTTTACACCAGCTCACAAAATTAAACAGCATCGAGCGCCAAAACCCAGAGGCGCTACCAGGCAATGACAAAACCACCCCCTTCCCTGTGCAAAATCCCATCCTAGGGTTGATTCATTTTCCTGGAAGCATCAGCTCCAAGCAAGAAGCCCATCCACGCAGGAGGTAATACCTAAGTGAGTGGCATCACTGAAGGACTCCACATCAACTGGCAGCGTGGTACCCACCGAGCATCGCCAAAGGTGCTGTCCTCACTCAGCCTCGGCACCTTTAGTGATGCTCAGTGGGTACCAGGGGCTCAATCCCACCGGAGGCATCACAGCCCCCCAAAACCCTCACATCTGCAAAGCCCCCTATTCAGGGTGTGCACATGGGTGTTGCCTTTACAGGTCAGGCAAACACCCCGAGACCCTCAAGGTGGGAAATTCATAAGCTCCTTTCGTACAAAACCCACCCGCACACACCGGTCCCCAAGATGGGGAATTCACCAGGGTGTGCAAAAGGGAGTGCTCGGAGGCAGTGCCAGTGGATAATGGTGGAGCTGATGCTGGGAAAGATATCAACAACGTGGTAAGGCAGGAGAGAATGACACTGGACGCCAGTCTGGAGGACAGTAAAGATTGTCACGTCCCATGTCACAGAGATAACAGTTATAAACCGTTGGGGTAGAGCACATGGTGCAGGTAGTTCAAAAGTTCAGGAATTGTTTTCACAGATAAGAGCCTCGGTGATGGAAGTTCCCTGCTTCTTGCAGAAAGAATACAGCAGTGATGAAAATAATCACTGTACCGAAGCAATTAAGGATGCTTGTCTGGTGCAGTTGACTAAGCAGGTTCCCCCCTGGTCACAGGTCATTCTGGATTGCTTCTCAGAAGCAAGCCAAGGCTGATAATGAAGCTTAGAGCTGGGAAGCACCTAATTGCTTAATTGAGCACAAGACATTCCTCTTCTTATACCCAAGGTATCCCTGTGGAGCAAAGCCTGTGTGAGAGCATCACAGAGCTGAGCTGGGGACAGGACCACGGCAGAGAACCCCTGCGTGGGGTGGCTGGTGAAGCAGCACAGCACATCTCCGGGGTGCTTTCAGCCACAATGTCAACCCACTCACAAAGTTTCTGTCTGCTCTGCCCTCCCTTCCTCCGCCCCCCGCATGGAACCTTTCAAAAATTCAGTTGCCAAAAAAAAAAAAAAAAAAAAAAAGCTTTTTTTTTTTCTTATTTGCCACTTTGCAGAATTTGTGTTTTACATTTAAAGGGACAGCACTGCGTGCGTGTGCGTGCGTGCGTGTGTGTGTGTGCCTGGTAGATCTAAAAAAAAAAAAAAAAAAAAAGCAAGCAGGTTTTTAAAAACAAAAGAGACATCCTGTGGGCTCCTCAAATCGCTGCCTGGCAGCCCCCACCCACATAAAAAGTCTCCAAAGCACGCAGAGAGGAGTTTTAAAGGCTGGATTACAGCACTGGGGGTGGAGGGACCCCCCCGAGGCTGCCTTTTCGCTCGCTATCAGTAGCCAGCATGCCCTGTGGGAGCCACCCCAACCACCACACGCAGCCACAGTGCAAGGTACGGCTTGTGCTTTCCCGGCTGGATTGACTCCGTGGGGCTGAGGAGCGGAAAACCTGCTTTCATCAGTGCGCTCGAGTACAGGTGACTCAGAAAATAAAACACAGGGAAAAGCAAAATATCAAGAGCGGGTGACATGCATCCCTCCCAGCATGACCGGCCACCGAGATGACAGTGCCCGTGTTGTGTGACGCATGAACCCCTCTCTGGGCAGCCAAACCCCGTGTTGGACCTGGCTGATATCTTCATGCCAGGGCAAAGGGCAGGATGAATCCTTCCCAAACATCACAACCTCTCCAGGCTTGAGCACTAAGCCTTGGGCAGCCCTGGAGGGTTTGCTGAGCTGGGAATGGAGGCAGTGAGTCTCCCAGGTGTTTTTCAGGACAAGCCCAGCAGCTGCTCTGCTGACCACCCTGAAACCATCCCATCGCTCCCACAGTTAAGGGCTTGAACAGCCTCCAGAGCCTGCAAGCCATCACTCAAGCCAAATTCTGTGCCAAGGAAAGGCAAGGGAATAACCCAACCATGTTGAAACACCTGGACAAAATAAACTTCATGCTGCAATCATCTGAAATGGCCTTGGCCCATCAGGGTGGTCTGGCAAGCACAGTGGGCTGGTATCTCAGCCTTCTTCTGCTGGGGGCGACCTGCCCCCTCTTCCAGAGCTGCTTCTCCAAAACCAACATCCAGGTGAGGCTTTTCCAGCCCCCTGGGCTGACCTTGCTGTTTCCTTCAGGGCCAAACTCATGGGCTGCACAGGCAGAGCCACCCCCCGTGAGCCCCAAACTCATGACATAGAGCAGAGCCAGCACAGCCAGCGACAGGGAGCACTGAGGGGTCTGCAGGGGGAAAGTGTGATGGGAGTGCTGGGACAGATGAGTCTATTTGCCTCTCCCAGCAGTTCCCCACCAGCGTCTCACTGTGACCCAGCAAGCCTCACTGACCCAGGAGCCAGCAGGACCACTGGAAATGGAGACTGTCCCTCCATCAGCTGTGTTTTCAATTAAAGCCAGGCACAAGGCTTCACATTGCTTCCCAGACAACAAGCGACTATGTAATTTGTGCAAGAGACTGCTGAGACATTCCCCAGCGAAATCCAAGCCCGCTGTGTCGCTGAGACATCAGCAAAACACACACATGCCCTCTGCATCGCCTGCATTCAATTACAGCCCCATTCATTGCAAGCTTTCTTCCAGTTTCTGCAATAAGCAATCGCTGGGACAAACTCAGAAGGGCAAGGGCAGGTCTTGGTGTCACTTCCAGGAAGGCAAAGCTCTTAAATACATGTGCAAATTCCAACCTGAGATGTCTGTGCCTGGGAAATTATCCAAAGTACTAAACAAGCCATTAGCTCTGACCCTGGCATAATTGAATCTGGGAATTTAGTAAGAGAGTCTCTGCCTCTCCTAACAGCGCGGAAGATAAAGCCTACCAGATCGCAGATAAATTGCTGGCATTGAGGAAATCTTCTGCAGCAAAACCTCTCTGCTGCACTCAGAACGTCAAAGGACGTATTCCCATGGCGTACGGCGCATCAGTCATACGCTACTATTAGCCAGCACAGGTGGTATTTAAAGAGATGGCAGATAAGAGTTTAAAGAGACTGCTTGCTAAGTGCACAGATAATCCTGCCCTTCTACACAGGAAACTGCGGCTTCTTAAAAACAGGTTTAATTTTGTTTATGATTTTTATGGGGAAAATTAAAAAATTCTGCTGTTACATATGCTCCATCCTGTGCAAACAGCCCTCCTGGTGCCTGGGCTCCTCGCAGGGCAGGGGAAACTGTCCCCAGAGAACAGAGCAAGGAAACCCACAACACTCAACAGCTATTGACACTGATGATTCTGGCCTCGCTGCCACATTCCTCGTCTTTATTACAGAATCACAGAATGATATGGGGTTGGAAGGGACCTTTGATGATCATCCAACCCCCCTGCCCAAGCAGGTCCACCCAGAGCAGGTTGCACAGGAACGTGTCCAGGAGGGTTTTGAATGTCTCCAGAGATGGAGACTCCACCACCTCTCTGGGCAGTCTGTTCCAGGGCTCTGCCACCCTCAAAGTGAAAAAGTTCCTCCTCATGTTTAGATGGAACTTCTTATGTTTAAGTTTGTGCCCATTACCTCTTGTCCTGGCCCTGGGCACCACTGAAAAAAGACTGGCCCCATCCTCCTGACACCCACCCTTTAAGTATTTATAGGTGTTGATCAGATGTCCCCTCAGCCTTCTCTTCACCACACTAAAAAGACCCAAGCCCCTCAGCCTTTCTTCATAAGAGAGATGTTCCACACCCCTAATCATCTTTGTGTACCTTCTCCAGCAGTTCCCTGTCCTTCATGAAGTGGGGAGCCCAGAACTGGACACACTGCTCCAAATGGAGCCTCACCAGGGCAAAGCAGAGGGGGAGGATGACCTCCCTCCACCGGCAGGAATAAATCTGCTGCTGGCTGAAGGTACCCAACCACGTAAAATGAAGTGGGGAGCCCAGAACTGGACACACTGCTCCAGATATCCAGGAGGATATCTGGGACACCCAGGAGACAGGGATGATCAAATTCATAGCAAAATCATTTCATTATTATCAGCAACTCCTGCTCTAATACAGTGTTTCTAGACACACCCCTAATCATCTTTGTGTACCTTCTCCAGCAGTTCCCTGTCCTTCATCAAGTGGTAAGCCCAGAACTGGACACACGGCTCCAAATGGAGCCTCACCAGGGCAAAGCAGAGGGGGAGGATGACCTCCCTCCACCGGCAGGAATAAATCTGCTGCTGGCTGAAGGTACCCAACCACGTAAAAGGGATATGCTGGGGCTGGATCCAGCTCTGTAGAACAAATACCCCTCATCCCCCCCCACCCTAGAGGGGCATTTCTTGGCATGGGTAGGTAGCAGCAGGGTCAGCTCCTTACCAATGGCTCCGCACACAGTTAAGCATCAGGATAACAGCACCCAGGCAGTAGCAGGCAGCATGTGGAGAGCCGAAGACTCGGCTGAGCGCTCGCGTTTTGTGCTCCCATCTGGCTACCTGAAGAGACAACAGAAAACAAAGCGGGTGGTTGGAGGTGCCTGGGCACATTCCCAGGAGTGCGAATCCCACCCCCTCAACCCCTTGTTGGGGGGGACACACCATCAGCGTGGCTTTGTGCAAGAGGCAAGTGGAGGACACGGATGGGACACGGCTTAAACCAAGCCTAGGGATGAAAGCTCCTTCTCCTACCCATACCATCCCCTGACAGTGCTTGCATTGCACTTTCACGTGCACACCAGGCCAGCAAGCAACACTAAATATGGGGTGAGGGAGTATGGAAAGCACCCCACGCATCAGTTTTGGGGAATACGTGGCTTAAACAACATGTGTTCAACAAATCTGAGAGCATTGCTAAGGCTGTCCCCAGGCCACCAAAGCCAACAGGTCCCTGCCATGGAACCTGGTAATGCTCTCCCAGAAGGAAAACAGATCCCTGAGTAGGGTGTGGGCCACAGGGACACCCAACTTTCATTTTCTAAGTTCTGCCATCTCCTACACCCAGCCTCAGGGATCATACCTGGCAGGAGCAACCCCTCCCCTGATCACTTCCAGAAAAGCTTGCAAGCACTTTCCCAAACTCCCCCCAGACAAGATCTGCCAGTTTCACCCAGAGAACTGCTTCCACTTGTACGGGCCAAACCAACTGGCCTTCGTTAGCACTCAGTAATTGTAGCCATTAAGGGCTCCTCTGCACTCCTCACCCATCCCTGCTGTCTCAATGTGACCCACAGAACACATTGCTGACAGCCCAGGACTCTCACGTTTGCAGGCAGCATCTCTGGGGAGGCATTAACATCAGCATCCTAATTTAGGGTCATGCTTTCCTCTGGCTGCAATTTGAAGCTCTGTGTTGTGCAGAAGCTGATGGGCCCCTGCCCAAAATCCTTCACAGCTGAGGAGCTGCCCTTCCACCTGGGGCGGCTGGAGCTGCTCCCGAAATCCACAGGACTGGATCCACCCAAGCCACCAAATCCAGCACCTTCACTCCCCAGCTGATGAAAATCCTTGCAGCTCGTTTTTCTGCCTTTCCCCTGTCCTTCAGAAAGCTGCCTCTGTATTTATCGCCTCTTTTAGGCTCCATTTTCGGGTGCCAAGCTTGGGGTTTTGGATCAGAACCCTAAACTCAAGCCAAGCAGAGCACACCTGGGCGATGAAGCGGGAGTCAGGAGAACATCTCGGCACCAATTTGCTTCTCAGACACGGCTGGCACTTCATTAGCTTCAAATGCACTTCGCTCCCTCGCACGGAGCCTGGGCAGCTCTTGGGGGGCACCTGCAGCCCAGCTATTCATCTCCTCTGAATGCATTTAGTAATTTATTGGCTCTATTTGAGCGGAGAAAGGCTGCTTTGCAGGTCCCGCTTTCTTCCCAGGCTGATGCAGAAGCACAAAAGTGCTGCTGGTGGAGGGGGAACTGCTGGCTTCGGGGGGGGAGAACGATGAAAACCTCCGATAAGCAGGGCACTGATTTCACATGCTGAGAGCTGATTCAATTAGTTATGCAATGATTGCTCTGAAATTACAAATCCACTCATGACAGAGCGAGCTGCTTCACTGCCTTTTTCTGGCTGGTATAAATAGTTTGTATTCTAAATTGAATTTAAAACACCGTGCGTCATGCTGCTGCTAAAATGGGAGCCGCCGTTTGAGCGCTGCGAGAGAAAGAAATATAGGGTGAGTTACCACCTTTGGAAAGTCAAAAGAAGTGACCAGACAGGTGACTGAGGCGCAGATGGACAAATGCAGCCACGTGCCAGTTACTGGTACCCGCTTCCTAATTCCCTGGAAATTATTCTGGCGGCGGCAGCTCCTGGCTCGCTCTGAGCGCTTCGTGAAGCGTCTCAGCCGGCGGCAGGGCTGAAGCTGAAAGGAGATGGCAGCGCCGCTGGGATCAGAGGGGAGAGCCCGGGAGCCATCGAGGCAGCCTCGTAATTGCCCTCTCCTTTAAAAAGTCACATCTGGGCAGCGCCGGGAGCACGGTGGGGCCAGGGGACGCGTTCCCAAGCCTTCCGGGGCAGCTGCTGGCTCGGGATCGCTCCCAGCACGGCCCGGCTCACGCTGCATCACATCGATGCTGATTCCCTGACTGGGACTGAGATGGCAATTTCTATTTAGCTGTCACAGCCTTCGGATGGGACCCCGGGCTCCTTTCGGAGCCCGCCTGGGAGTCATCCCAAGGAAAGCGGAGCGGGAGCCTGCGTGGGGCTGGAAGCAGCGGCGCCCGCCAGGCCCCGCAGCGATATTTCAGCAGCAATTAATTTGTTCCGGTTCTGGTTCTATTCCTTGAACAACTAATTAGTTCTGGCTCGGTTCTAATTTTCTAATTTTAGTCATTTCTAGCTAATATTAGCTCTCGTTCGACCTATGGCTACGCAGCTGGCTTAATGGTTTTCTAAAATCGTGAGCTGACAAGTTATTATTTACTGCACGACGGATGCAAAATGCTTCCAGCATCTTCCATGGCCATGTCCAGGGCTGAGACCGGCAGTCTCCCAGGGAGGGCTGTGGCTATTCCTAGTGTCCACTTGCTTTCCCAGCCCAGGCTGGCACCGTGCTCCCCACGGGCGAGCAGGGCACCGGGGGGGGAGTGCCCCACAACCACGGCTGTGCGTCCTGGTGAGGGAGGAAAGGGAGCATTTTTATTTTTCTTCCAACCTCCGAGTTTGGAAACGGAGTTAATACGAAGTTTCCTGACTTACCCAAGGGTCAAAGCAATAGAAAAATTCAAGACTTTTTTTTCCCAAAGCTCCCGGGCCTCTGCTTTCACTTTAGGATACTTGGTGAGGGCTGTAAGTAATTTTTTTAATGTTTCCCCCAATGCTCGTTATTGAAATAAATCAAGGAACGGATGTGGCTGCAAAGCCGGGGAGTGCTCTTGGGTCCCATGTTCTGCCTTTGGCAGGCTGTTCTGGCGCTGGTCGGGGGCAGGCGCAGCCGGGCTGATGTTCCCAGGGAATTGTCAGCTCCTCGACGTAAATTTGGGGCTGATTTCTACGTAACTGAACCGAGCCATCTCCCCAGCCGCTCGGGCAAGTGTGTAAACAAAAATGAAAGCACCAGCGTGCATCCCCAGTGGCTGCTCTGATGCAAAATGGAAAGGATGTGAGTTTTCTTTTCTTTTTTGGGGGGGGCAGGCAAACCTTCCTGAGCCACCTCGAGACGGGCCACAAATATCCATTCGAAAAGCAATTTCTTCTCGCCGACCTGCCTCCGCGGCTGATCAACGGGAAATGCTCTTTACAGCTCTGTGTGCACTGCAGACCATCGCCTCTCATTAATATTTAGTATTTGTTTCAAGGAAATTGATTATTTTTGTCTGCCATCCAGGGAAGCTGGCTTTTGAACACGCTACATTTTAATTCGCTCGAGCCCAGCTCTGAAATAGAGACTTTTGTTCTGTTTCGCACGACTCCATTTCTATATCTGGCGCGCCCCAGAGATGGGGAACGAAACCAGATAGCCCAGAGGCTCGGGTCGAAGGGACGTTCTGCATCTCGATGCTAATCAGCTGGTCCATGTCCTCACATCGCCCCATCCCCATAGTATGAAGAAGCACCGTGTGGCTGCTAGTGAATCTAGCCTTGCAGAATGCCAGGCAGGCTGGGATGGATTGGCAGCTCCCTAAAAACCAAGGGAAACTGAGGCACCAAAGGGTTGAGGTGAGTGGCTGCTCCCCAGCTCTCCGGGGAGCAGGGTGGCAGGGCTGTGCACACCTCCTGGGCAATCCCAGACCCATCACCCACCCTGCCCACTTCTGGGGATGCTCTTGCCCTGGCCATACTGCTGGCATAAAAATATTCAGTGCCCAAGACTAAGCTGCAGAAAAGATGACAGTGAATAGGACATGCTGCCTTCACTGTACCTGTCTCGCAGTATTTGCCAGCACGAAGGATTTTTGCCGCATCGTGGGCTCTAGGAAGCAACCCATTGATAAGCCTGAAACTCAGAAATTCCATGAAAAGCCCAGAGCAAGAACGCTCAGCTCCTTGGGGCATGTCTGCACCCTGGTCCCAAGGGGATGCACATGCGTATAGTGAGCCCTGGATGTACGAATGATTCAGCCCTAACTTGAAAAAAAACTTAGGACAAAAGCAACCTGAGCAAATTTTTAAACTTTATCCTTGTGCGTAGGGTGAGCCCTGGATGCACAAATGATTCAGCCCTAACTTGAAAAAACCTTATGACAAAACCAACCTGAGCAAATTTTTAAACTTTATCCTTCAATCTGAGCTCTCCGAGGCCAGCCATGGGGGTGCTGGGGCAGGAGAAACCCTGACTCTGGACTGAGGTGGCTCCATGTGAGCATCTCCCATCGCAGGAGACGTGCCCTGGGTAGCTCGTAAACCGAGGAAAAGGCAGGGAACCTGATGTTCCCCTTATTTCACCTACAGGGACCAGAGACACCGATCTGTTCCCCCATATGAAAAGTCCATTTTTCCTTTTTGATTCCCTGGGATCCCTCGTTAGAGAGTAATGACATTCTCCACTCTCCATCACTGCTTGGATGCTGGCAAACAACCCTGCTCACAGCGATGCTGTTTTATCTAAAAGCCAGGGAGGAAAACGATACCCCTGAGCACCCCAGCTCTATCTGTGGTGCTCCCAGGAGCGAGCAGGGGAGCAGAGCCAACACAGAGCAGGCTGCAAAGTAAATGCACATCCACGGCCCGACTGCCACCACTGGGGCTGGCTGACCTTTGCCAAACGCTGGAGGAGCCAGCCTTTCTGGCTGTCCCAAGGGACCACGGAGGAAATGAGCATGGCCTGACCGTATCCCTCTCCTGATGAACCATGCTCGAGCCCCTCTGCAGTTGGCAGCACTGGGTGAGGATGGTTTATTGCCCACATGCTGGTAGGGAAGTACCAACAGTGCTGGTTGAACACCATGGCTAGGATGAAAGGTCCAGCCTGGCCTCCTGCTGCCACTCAAGGCAAATGTCCGAGTGTTTGTGCCACTCCTAGGTGAGAAAAATTCCACTTTTCTAGGAGATTGCAAACC